CGTGCTGGGTATGTTTTAAGAAATCGGAGGATTCGCTGACGATGATAATGATGGGTAGGTATTTCGCGTAGAAGTTTCAACAGACTGATTCCCAGGCAGCGAAATTCTGTTGAGTTCTGGTCAGGGCTCTTAGCTTCCAGGCACGATCTCCATCTGTTGGACCTTCACGGCAACCCTATGCCGTATAATACACCAATGATCAAGAGGGTTATCCTTCTGCTACTCTTGTCGCACACTTTCTTTTTGACCAAACTAGATATCTAGGATAAGAACTGTTCACGTTTGTGTTGATTATCCTCCGGCTGATGCTTGAGAAACGTTGAGATTTTTGAATCACAACTTTCGTAAAAGTAAAGGGCTTATGTGAGAGAAGTCAAATACAAATATAGATGAGTGTATTTTCCTGCTCCTAGGCCTTTAACGTGTTCATTTATGATTCTCATATCCTGAATTAAAAAATGAAAAGAGTAATGCGATGGAAAGGGAGCCGAGAACAGCGCTGAACAGAGTATACTCTCCAGTCACGTTGATCTTTGTCTGCAAAACAGTTTGCTTCTGGGTACAACCCAAGGTCGACAGGTTTTCTTCTCATGTTGCCTGTAGTCGTGTATGCAAATTCACGCCTGTACGCAGTAGCGCTTACTCCCAGGGGATGGGGGGAAAGCCATACCTTAGACTCCCTGAGGATAAATTAAAAGGCCTGCACATTGGGATCACAAGTGTCTTAAGCAACGATGATAAACGTAATAATTTTTATCCCTGAATATACAGACGTTCACCACTTTTACGGGTGTGAACAAATTTCTATGGAAATGACATGTTTTTTGTAGTAGGTAATCTCACATCCCACGTATTTTGTCGACAGAGGGCATAAACGCAGCATGTTAATGTGGTGAAACATCCCAGAAGAGTTGGTATGCATTAAAATGACAAGGTGGAGAAGTGGAGATATTGCAGTTGCAATGGAAAGACAAAGGCATGCATTCAAAAATTACCTGTGCTGCCTGGAGAGGGATGAAGCCTGAAGCCAACGCTTCCATTGTTACACATCGTATATTTCATCTAAGAAAAACGATTAAATGTTCACGAATATACACGTCTTTCACTTTTTGGTCTTCGATGATTCCAGAACTTTAAATTTCATGTATTTCTGTACCGGTTAACATCAAAGATTCACAATCTTGGTGGATATCATAAGTGCAAGCCAAATATCTGCAACTATCAACTCCAGCATCGGAAAGTAACAGGTTTGTTTGGACGCATCAGGTGGACGTCCAGGACACCGTATCCGCCATTTTCACGGGTCTTTACAATCCTGCGGTAGGCAAGAACTAGAATTCCCCGGTTGCTTTCATAATCAGTAAGTCCCAGGTTTCGATAATTATGAAGTTTTGGTCTGAAGAACATTCTTCTCTCTTGGTTGTAGCCAGCCATCGTAAACGCAGTACCACTTCGACCAACGGAGGATAGTTTCATCCAAGGTTTGTCTCTTGGATAGTTTATTTTCGACTGCAACGAAGCCGATGACTGAAACTGAGTTGTTTTTCTGCGGCGGGAAAAATAACAAAGCAGAACACAGACAAAAGAGGCCAGGATTCTAACATGGGGCTTTCTCCTGGGCACATGTTCCTCTTTACTTAACCTTTCTATGACGCCAGATGTAAGTGCTGTGCCTATTAAACACTTAGGAAGGTAACTTTCACGCTTTTTTGCAGTTTGTGACTTTCATGTATGTTTACTTGTCGGAAGGGGCAGAATGTGCCGTTAGTACGAAGAAAACGTTTGCGGAAAAGTCGCCCCAACGCCACATATGGAAGGTCAATGTAGGTGTGGTAGATGACTCATTAGCTGTTAAGAGGGCCTGGTATATTTGGCATCATAGGAGATAACGGCGGGGAACTGTGGAAGTCACCAGGGATTGATCCGAAGGCCTTAACTTCAGCAGGAAGTTTGCCCCGAATCTGCAGTCAGTCGGCATCTTATCAATGCAGGGGATGCATTGGATACCTCGGGATCCCCCAAGGCAATCAACAAACGGCGTAATTCAGACGTTCTCAAGCTGGCTAAAGCTGTAGTGATTTGGTGACTGAACTCGGAGGCGTGCTCGTAAGGAAGCTGTGATAAGTTTCTTTGTCTGGAGAACCTCTGGTTTACGCCTTCCATTTATTCTATAACGTCATCTTGCGATTAGACCTCTTTTCTTTCGGTGCATAAATCTAATCTTTCTACCACCACGCAGCTTGTCTGTTCTTTGTCACCAACCAGTTAACTTGCTAATCTCCTTGCTTAGCATTCCATCACTATTCATATTCTTCTTTCTAGCCCTACGTTGAAACAAGTGTAACCGAAACGTTATAACATGTCTTGATAACCTCACCTAGATGCCTTCATTATTTCCTAGACCACAGTGTTCATCTATTGGCCAACTGCATGCAGCCGAAAAGATTTATCCTGTAATTATATTGCAGTATGATATTTAGAGGTTTTTAGGTTACGAGTAGCTCAAAAGATGGTGGAATAAGATAAAACAAAAATGCATATCCTGTGTTCTGCTGCAAGTCATCAGGACGAAAAAGGTACCATGTTATTCTCCTACTAACATCATTCTTTCTGTCTTGACGTTTATAAGGTGGGATATAGGTATGAAATGGTTGGATGCTAAACTCCCCGTTCAGTGCTTATATAAAGAGGGATTTGTGCTTGTTTTCAAGCGATGACTGAGTTTCACCCTCGTTTCACTCTTCATAAGCCTTTTTGCATGCACCGTTTCCACCTTAACAATGTGAATGCTTCACACTGGGCTTAACAAACCCGTTTTAGGGACAGATAATATAGACGTGTCTGAAAGGAAGTGGGACGGGGGACAGCAAATGAGCAGTGTAGGATATCTCATTACTCTGTGATTGCGAGCGGCAGATTTTAAGAAATCTGCCATCTGTGTGATGTTGCATGAATTACCTTGTCGTTGGATGGATTGAACTGACAGGTCTCTATTGGTATATGGGCTAGTGCGTGGACGCTTTGAAACTGCTCGTACTATGAGCTATGATGTTGATGATGGTTAGTGGGCGGCAGTGCAATCAGCTATATATACGTGCCTTCCAGTGAGCAATATTGTTCCCACTAAGACTCAAACTCTGGACCAGTAGCGTCAAAGGCCGGAACGTTGTGGGCTAGAGCCTTGAGTCGTGATAGCCACATGTTATGCAAATCACAGATCATGATTTTAAAGTCGTTTGAACTTCCAAAGCCCACAAAATTTTGAACTACCACCTGAAAATTCTGACGAAGTGCGAGACAAACCAGTCATGAATATATGGTGCTTTTAGCTCCATTTCTCAAATCTGTTTGGGCGCATGTTTAACGCAATGCTCACCGTTAATTATTTTTCTCAGTTTCGATGGAATGCATGTCGGTTTGACATAGCAGGGTCACGGGTCAGTTTTTGCTGGTGGGGGCTACAGGAATGACTTTTAGGTGCAGGGTACCTACGAAAGATTCCATTTCCGAGGTTCATAGATCTTACGAAAGCTTACAGCAGAAGTCAAAAGATGAAACATTCGCGGCCCGCGGGTATGCCATAATTGCAAAAAGTGTTGGGTCTCTAAAAATCAGACAGGAATACTGAGCACATTTTAGTTTAGTGGCGGAAAGCTCCCTTCCAGAATGGTCTGAGGTTCGACAAAATTCGACAGTGGTGCTGACCTCCACAGTTTTGATGGAATGGCCGGAGCGAAAGCACACGGAAGGACATCAGCGTTGTTTGACAGTGTCGTTTTGAGTTGCATAACTCGCCTGCAGTCCCGAGGCCGGCTAGCGGAGGCATTTCAGTAACGTTATACCACCCATCAAAGGTGTGATTCCTACTTGTTCACGCTATAATGTTTCAACTTAATTGATTGTACCAAATTCTAACACTCAAGAGCGACTTACCTCCCATTTAATTCCATTAACATCTCATAACTGGGAGAACGCATGCAATATTATTCTTTGTTTTCTCAAGCTTTTTATTTAGGTTGAGCACTGCCCGCGAGTGGAACTGAATTTATGTCTATACAGGGTGGTGCCAGAAAGCCTTTATCTTCTTTCTCTGCATCCTGTTTAAGATGTACTCACAGTCTTTCGATTTCACTGCCTTCAAATAACCTCTGTAAACATTTTTCTAAGGCTGCTGAAGTGCAGAATATTGCCAAGCGACAGACCAATAAATTCTACCTAGCTGAAGTACCCATAAGGAGCACATCGCTCATCTTCTTGTTTGAAAGTCTTGTTTTTCAAAACAAAGGGAAAAAAAGGTCATGGGGGCTCTAACCTCAGATGCAAACACGTGACTGGGGTCGAAGTGAACGAATATGAATTTATATGCCTTTGGTGAAGTAGCTAAGACTGAAGCTGCGAAAGATGCATCCGTTGGATTCAGACTTTCGAAGAATTACAAACCACTCTCAGTGGCCAACTGTTCTGTATCGAAGTACAGGAAACTGTGTGGTACTCCTCATATTGGTGCCTAAGACCAGACGGAAATATTAAAGTACGAGATTATGTGGTTAGTCAGTGTTTACAAACTTCCTGTTCTATCGTGGATACAATCTAAGTTTTTCCAATTCTTCCGCCTAAAATCTGTGGTTATGCAACTGGGAAGTGCTCTTCAAGCTGTTGAGCCCTAGATAGGGACCAAGTTCCCAATAAAGTTGGTAGTCGGATTTAAATTAAAACCGAGACATCCAGATCCCTTTCATATTAGTAGAGAAGGTTATCCAACCATAAAACATATGTATGTCTCTGCTGTCATACTACAGACTAGCCATCTTGCAGTCGTAACACTTAAATACATGTCCCTTAAAATCCATTCACATTTGAAGTTAAATTAATTCATCCTACAAATATCAACTAACATTGACTTTCTCATGCAGATGACTTTTAATATTTTCAGTTCACAGCGATTAAAAGTATATATATATATATATATATATACATATATATATATATAACCCTGTATTGGCAGATTGAACTCCATGTTGAAGTTTACGTTTGTTTAGAACACTCTTGAGCGGTTGCGAAACACATTGTACCCGGTTTTGAATTCCGAATGGTTTGTTTTTTTGCGTTGTGATGACGTATTATTTTTAGGCTGGCGGTAAAGCTGGAAAGGATTCAGGGAAGGCAAAAGCAAAGGCGATATCTCGATCACATCGCGCTGGTTTACAGGTGAGTTTGACTACTTTTGGATTTGTTTGCACCATCTTGTAGTCTTATTTATTTTGTCTGGTTTCTTAGTATTTGGATATAATCATATTTCCAGACGCTAGGAAACACCAGTATGCCAGACGTCTGGAATAAACTAGTTGTGTAAGTACTTATGCAGTTCGTCAGCCTTAGAGAAGTTACTAGCCATGCAATGGGTTACAGGTCCCAAATGTGGTCAGACATAAATGAATCCGGTACTATCGTCATTCTAAGCACAGGAATTATATGTATTCACAAAATAAGGAGCAACACTACTAATGGGTTGCATTTGTCGTCGGTCCTCGGAGCCGTAGGCTGTCTGTTAGTTCTTGCTTGCGGCAGTACAGTGGAGATACCGTCTCGTCTTGAAAGAGTCAGAAAACAGGGCAGATTACGCTTCGAAACGGAGTTTCAGTGGTCCTTACTCTACGGTAAACGTTCACTGTAATCTAGATGTTTGGACTTTGTTGGATCCTCCTTATCAAGAGCAGCGTATGACCAGGCATTGCTGCGTAACGGTCCAGTTTACCAAACCTCATATCGGCACATCAAGTACAAGGCGGTAAAATGATAGATAAAGGAAAGAAAAACCAGTCGAAAGGAAAAGGGAGTGGTAAGAAAGAGGAAATGATGAGATTTAGTATTATGGTTAATATGAGGATGATGTATGCATATGTCTGCACCAGTGAAACCGGTTCTGAACCATACCACCTGCAATCTCCAACCACTAGTTTCTCTCGTCTCATCCCACGGACACTAACCAGCTGGTCTACGTCGCCCCACAAGGCTCAAATCAACAGTCAAAAACTTCATACATTGATGCCATGTTTCAGTTTGGCTACCCCTGGCCTTTTTCCACCATAAACCTAATTCGTGCAACATTGTGTGACGAGACACACAGAGGTTAGACACGCGTAACACATGTCCCAGACATCTCAGTCGATGAAGGCTTACAACCACATCAAGTGACTAACGTCTCCTAAAACTCTACACCTGACTTCTGTTTATATTCACGTGGTGACACCATAAAACACGGTTTATGCTACGAAGGGAGGCAGTAGTGGTCAAACACATTAAGCCTACTGATGTCTTCTACCTTCGCTGGTCAAGTTTCACAGCCGTAGAGTAGAAGAGAGAGGACTACAGTACAGTACACTCGACCCTTAATAGACAATCGGATATCTCGCGGCGGCGCCACAAATGACGTAAGTAGGCAAAATCGAACTGAGACTTTTGTATTCGTGCAAAGGTTTCGTCTGTCACTGACCCACTAGGGCTGATCCGACTTCCCAGGTAATTGGAGTGGTAGATGTGCTCAACCACATCACTCCTTATTGTTAGCCGGGGCATCGTTAAAGACCAATCCTGGAGCAACGATTTTCTTTTGGGTGGTGAGAAACGCATTGTAAACATTCCCGAATTGCTACTCACGGTGTTCATAAGACTGCATTTTGTCAGCGTCTTCAACTAACAGGACTATGTCATCTGTGTATTCAGGGTCTACCAAGAATTCTCCTGCGATTAGGTTAATCCGAGTGCATTCAGATGACGAGGGGGGAGACCTCCGTAAAGATATGTGATTAAATTGGATAGGAATGGAGAGAGTGGGCAACCTTGATTGACACCATTCGACGTACACAACTCACCTGATATCTCACCATTAACTTGAATGAGCTCTTAGGTGTTTGAGTAGAGCCTTCACTGGGGTGAAATACTTGGTACACGTTTCAATCAGACATTGCCATAATACTTCTCGGTCGACGTATTTGAGTACTGCTTTCAGGTCGAGAAATGGAGCTGTTACCGTTAATTCAGAAGAAGCTGCTGAAATCCATTGGGTCTTTTTAACCAATGTTTAAGAGTCGACTACAGTCTTCAGTGCTGTTTTCGCACCAGATTGGAGATAGCACCAAGCTTCCGGATGAGTGATTGTTCTGTTCCGATAACTGCCTAGCCCGTTTCCCACTGAAATCGACCTTAGTGCTATCATTTCTGAGCTGCACGTGTAGTGGTCTCGTTGCTTAAGTCTCTCTACATCTATTAGGATGCAGACATATGTCCGAACCAAACACGTGCAGCAGTCCTCCACCGAGCCTTTCTAGCGATGACTGATAGCATTGTGGTCTACGACCAGTATGCTTAACTGCACATTTGCTGAAGCTAATTCCTAGACACTTATACTTGAACCATTTGACAAATGCAGTTATTCTCGCTTGTAGCGTCCCTGTCTGACCTTCCATCTGTTCGCGTCGGCAAATGATGACGCTACTGACTTGATCACATCCTAGAGTTCACTTACATCAAGAAAAGGAGAGAACCAAAAATTGTTCCGGGTAGGACCTCACTTCTTACAGGTTACTACTTACATTAGTTGCCAACTATCTACCTTGAAAACTAAGCTGATCATACCGTCTTTCCAGTCTTTTGGAAGCTGGTTCCGACGTACAGACATATTAAGTAGTTCATCTAGCGACAAAACGGTGACGTCATTCAAGAAGGACAATAGCCTTTGGTGCAATTCGTCTAGACTAAGGGATTTCCCAAACCTCAGGTGGCTCAGTAGCCGAAGGACTACCTTTCTTGTGATGTGCGCTGGGCTCATCATTGGGACATTTTCGGGAATACTGGTAGGAGTGCTGACCTCAGTTTACAGTGAAGACTGCACTGAAGTACTGAAAAATACATTCTGCTTTGGAGAGATGAAAGTCAACTTTCCTGGATCCTCGACTGACAGGAAAGGTGGGACTCCACCGTCACGTTTCGTTTACGAACCTTTTGGTAATGTCCTCTAAGGGGAAAGATTCTTGAAGAACAAAACAAATAAGGTAAAACATAAATCATTATGGAATAGGCGACAATAAGTGAGGTTATTTCTCATTCTACACTAGAACTGAAAGAAAATCCAACCAATTTGATGTTTCTATGTAAGAAGGGTTGTGAAGCCCCTTAACCATCTTGTCTCTTACCGTCTGGACTCACTGTTATTCCAGTTCCATACTTTATACATAGGCTTACTGCTCCAGTCTTCTACTGCAAATAGTATCCTACATGCGTAGGGTGTGAGGTCTGAGGTATGTTCTCATCAAAGCTCTGGAAGGGTTTTTGCAATGACGACAAGCTGCTGCTCTACAGTTAGTTGGTTCACGATCATGGCTAACCACGATACTCGTCTTTATAACCAGTTACAGCAACATGCCTTTAAACAAGTCATACGGATATTCGCGACCTAATATCATGACTATGTCTAATGGTATCTGGCCCGCATTCGTGGACCAATGCACTGACGCATTGAGGTCAACCTGTAGAAGCAGTATGTCCTCATCACTGTTAAGTCTCCAGGTTTTAATATGGTTTGCAAATATTAGGATGTAAAACGTAGTCCCGGGCAACTGATTCACGTAGAGTTGGGTGACATTCTTGGTCCAATGCTTCACCATACCAATGACTTCGAGCTTTTTATAGAGACATGGGTAAAAGACCTTGTCAAAGTTTCCTGCAGCTAACGGATGCCACCTCATTTGGGGCGTTCATATCGCCAATGTTGAGATTTAAATCTACCAGGTGGTGATACTGCCGATGAACTTGCTCAAGAGTAATTTATCGATACCTAGTGGATGTTTTTGTTCATTTGTTTTGGATGAACTGAGGATAGTGTCGTCCCAATCCCTGAATGTTCCCGATTGTTTCAGTGGTACATTAAACAGTTAGGTTTAATTGCTTGTGGTAGCGCTGGGAATCCTCCACGAGCTTCTCGCACATTAGCCTAGATTTTTTAGCCAGGCTCTTGCAAGTATTCTAGACCTCACAACACAGTCTGAGATCCGTTGTGACGAAGAGGTTACACAATGTTATACCTCGACACAATGGTTTATTGGTCTGGCTAGTTATCCATGGAGTGTAAACAGTTTGTCTATGCTTGAGTGATCAAGGTATGTCAGCATACATAACATTCTTAGATGTGTTATTACACTTACTTTATGTACCATCAATGAGCGAGCTCATACCAGTTGACCAATTTTCCGAAGCATTTTCTATTGTCGTTATGTTCACCCGTTAGAAATTCGGATGAAGTTGGACAAAGATTTTGAACCTATCACGAACTCAGCTCGAATCTTATTGCTGTATTACTATTGTTTGCTAACGGAGGCAAAATATTAAGTTTGGATATGTCATTCATCTCATTAGTTGTACCGAGATCTGGCGTCTGAAGATCATCCATGGAGTGTAACATTAATCCACCAACCTTTAGCTATTTATCCTAAACGCTGAAGTTAGCTGTATCGTGGTATTTTTGTAGTTACGTAGATCAGAGATAAACCACATTTGTCAGACTAACATGGCAACGACGCTGCTGGTGGTCTACACTGGTGTATCACTCTCACATTGAATGGACCGTTCGACATGTCATGTCGCCAACTTCCTGAACACTTTGAAGTGTCCACTTCTAGATGTCAGTGCAAGCATGGTTGCTTATGCGTTGCAAACCACTGCGTTTCCATGGTGTGAAGCACATACCATACTTACGAGTTATGATTGGCAACTGATTATCTGTGATGAGTAACTTGCATGTAATTTCACAATAGGATATCATGCACCTGTTCTAGGTCCCAAGAATCAGCTTCTCACCTGTTTCATGACGCATGTTAGCAGCCATTTCTTAGGTTAACGGAAGTGTTAGCCAGTATATGGGAATCAAATACGATCACTGATTATGCCAGTCTGCAGGAAAGGCGAGAAGTCCTCTTGTGATAACCGCAGACGAATCAGCCTGACGAATATAGTGTTCAAGACCCTAGGTTCTCCTAGGTGGAGCTCGGGAACAGCAAGCCCTAGAAAACCAGACAGGATTTAGACCCGGTTGCGGGTGTATCGACCAAATATTCACACTGCACCAGGTTCTGGAACATAGGCACGCTTACTGACGCCCGACAGTAACTGTATTTCTCGACCTGAAGGCGGCATTCGACTCCGTTGATCGAGAAGTCTTATGGCAATGTCTCTCACTGAAAGGCGTACCGAGTAAGTGCATCACCTTATTGAAGGCTCTTTACTAGAACGCTACTGGGCGTGTTGAAGCCTATGGCGAGATATCCAGGGAGCTATGCTCATCGAGCGCTGTCCGTCATGGGTGCCCACTGTCTCCATTCTTATTCAATTTCATCATAGATATCCTTATGGAGGTCTTCCTTTCGTCACCTGATTACACAGACGTTGACCTAATCGCAGGAGAATTTTCGTTAGACCTAGAGTATGGAGATGACATAGTCCTGTTAGGTGAAGACGCTGACAAAATGCAGTCTTCTGAACCCTCAGAGTGGGAATGTGAGAATGTTTAGAACGCTTTTCTTACCATCCAAAATGAAATTGTTGCTCCAGGATTGGTCTTCAGCGGTGTTACGGCTGACAATAGAGAGTGCAGTGATTAAGTGTGTCGACTACTTCACTTACCTGGGAGGTAGGATCAGCTCTAGTGGCTCAGTTGTCGATGAAATCTCTACTCGGATACAAAATGCTTGGTTGGCTTTTGCCAACGTACGCCACTTATGGCGCCGCCGTGATATCCGATTATCTATTAAGAGTCACATGTACTTCGCACCAGTCCACTCTGTTCTTCTGTATGGCTGTGTCACCACGTGAGTAACGCAGACGTCAGGTGTAGAGTTTTAGGGAGTGGAGGTAAATCAGTTGACGAGGTTCTGAACCTTCATCGATTGAGGTGGTTGGGACACGTATTACATATGCCTAGTCGCCGACTGCCTCGTCACACAATGTTGGCCGAAGTAGGTCCAGGCTGGAAAAAGGCCTGAGGTGGCTAGACTAAAGCATGGCACCAATGTATGAAGTCTTTGATTGTTGGTTTGAGCCATGTGGGGCAATGCAGACTAGCTGGTTGGTGTCCACAGGATGAGACAAGAGGAACCAGTGGTTGGAGACTCTAGGTTATGTGTCTCATGACAGAAGTCAGTGGCGCAGATGTATACACACATTATCCACATCTTAACGCTATACCGGATCTCACCATTTTCTCTCTCTTCGTACTTTATATTTCTTTTGACTGAAGTTTCTTATCTTCATCTTGTACCTTGCTGCCTTTTCACTTGATGTACTGTTATGAGCTTTGACAACTCGGTTCGTTACGCAGTAATGCCTGGTCTTATGTTGATATTGATGATGATAAGCCATTTCCCATACACCTTGAAGCAACTTCATACCCCGATAATTCACCTTAGACTCAGTTTTCATGATAGATATTAGCGATAACTTCAATCTCACGTAATGAAACACAATCAGCCACTTTTCTTAAAACAGTCATCTCAAAACAGCGACGTTAAACTATTCGAGCTTAGTGCTTTGAGGCACGTTAGTACGTTGAGTTCTCTCTGGACATCGCATCATTAGTCGGATAAAAGTTGACCGACCATAAAACACAAGATGGTTAAAAGTTACTGGAGCGTAGATCAGCTGAATTCCAATGGAAAGTTTGAAGGTGTAAATATGAAAAAAGTTGTTTCAATCTACAGCACTTCCAGTAGAGACTCAATGATACTCAGCATTGATTGCATGCAACTTTACAAAATAACATTGCATTAAGTTTTCATTTTGAACAACTTTGTTCAGGTACTTCGTTGCTTTTACGTCATATTACTACTTTTTAAAAGTTGTCTTCATTTCTCCATTAATTATAGTTTCCTGTCGGTCGTATTCATCGCCACTTGAAAGCACGCACTACCAGCCATGGACGAGTTGGTGCCACTGCTGCGGTCTACTCTGCAGCAATTTTGGAATATTTAACGGCCGAGGTTCTCGAACTTGCTGGGAACGCTAGCAAAGACTTGAAAGTCAAACGTATCACACCTCGACATCTTCAGCTAGCTATTCGTGGGGATGAAGAGCTTGATACATTAATCAAAGCGACCATTGCGGGTGGCGGTGTTATCCCACATATTCACAAGTCTCTTATCGGGAAGAAATTACCTCCACCTAAACCCCTCTCCATGTAACCAGATTGATAGAAACTGCATTTTACTGTATCTTGCATTGTTTCACGTTTTTATTGATGTATCTTTCTTTATAGAGGGTAAATACGTCCTCTCACTTACCTTAATTCTACTATATTATATGTCAAATAGATGCATTGACACTTATTTTTATTATCTGTTCTTATGTGGATATTTGTAAGTACATGTACTCAACTATCTGTTAAAATTTTCTCTTATGTGATCTGTTAGACATTTCGTTCTAGAAATCTGAAGAGATTACATCTGTTCAATGTTAATCAGAGACCACTTAACCATACTATTCACATCAAAATCCGATTTCGACTCCTGAAATAGAGGGTTTTATTAACGCTAAAATATCAGTATTTTAATTTGAAAAAGTCAAACCTTGTTTACTATCGTTTATTGAACTAGTTATTGTTGAACTATATTCTGTTAGTTAAATAATGTTGTTATTTTGAAGGCGAACCCCCGGCTTGTGTACGGATAGTCCCACACTGATTACGCGCAGTTTTCAGGTATATTGTGTCAAAGGCATCTTTCAGGATAGTTCGAATTCTCCTACTGCTGTCTCAGGAAATATCCCGAATGATGAGAGATACTTATGAAAGGACCTACTGGTGTTTGATGTCTCCTGACCTTCGAGATGACTGCACACGCAGGTTCATCCGCTGAAGTCGCCACATTTCACAACAGTATACAAAGTACAAATAGATAGAAAAAGAGTGATATCAAAGTAGGTGAAGTTTCGTTAGAGAATAGATAATTTGAAGAAAAAGGTTAGTGCGAATATTCAAGCTTAAGATGTCAAGGAGTAAATACATCTGGACCATTATGACCAGTTTTCAGCCATGTCAAAGTCCCCAACCACTGATTTTGATCTCGAGGACCCCAGCCAGGCAGTCTACATCCCCCCACATGACTCATACCAACAGTAAAAGACATCGACTGGTGTGACGTTTTGGTCTGGCCACCCTGGGTCCTCTCAACCTAATCCAACCTCGCCGTAGTATAGCGCGTCTACGTTGGTAGTGTCTCTGCATGCTCATTACATGTCCGAGACATCTCAGTCGACTAAAGTTCACAACCTCATTCATCACATGGCTTTTTTTTTACCTAGTACCCTCCACCTGACCTAAGCATTGTTCACGCAGTGGCTCCACTACACACGAACAATGCTGCTAAGACATTTGTGACCAAAACCCTATAGCCGCTTCATGCTTTCTAATTTTAACAGTCGTCTGTCACAGACCTATAACGTGGCGGGATGACCTGCACCGCCGTATACTTGTCCTCTGACTGACAGTGTGCTATCTCACCAGATGGCTCAGATTGCGCAAGCTGATGACAGTTGCCAAACGTTGTCTGTATCCTAGCAAGAGTTTCGTCGGTAGTCAGCCAGTTTGCGTTGGTACAACTCAGGTAAGAAAAGTGGTCACCACATAACTACATATCCAACTGGGAGTGGTTTGAGCAGTTCAGTCCTGGGGCACCAACCTGCATATGACAAGTGCGAGCGAAACGGATCCCACAGATTTCTACTCAAGGCGTTGGCGAACAACCTGCAGTCTCAGCGTCTTCATCCAGCATGACAATATCGTCTGCAAACTCCGAGCCAGTCAGATGTTCCTAGGGAGTATGCAAATCCCTGTAAAGTCAGATATTCCTGAGGTAATGTCCATTAGTATGTCTATAACGAAGTCAAATGGGAACGGTTTTAGTGGCTATCTGTAGTGGACACCACTAGTTGTCGTCAAGTCACAAGACAAATTTCCATAAGACCGAACAAGGCTGTGTGAGTTCGAGTAGAGAGCTTCGATTAACGTTATACCCATGCTCAGTACTCCTTTCATAGGACCTTGAACACGATATTAGCCAAACTGATCCCCCGCTGGTTGCGTCACAAGAAGTTTTCTAGCCTTCTTACAAACTGGAATGATGAGTGCAGTAGACAAGCCAGATGGCAATACTTCTGAGTCGAACAGCTACCTAGTGCGTCGACCACTTTATTCAGCAGCTTCCTGAAACTGGTTGGTAAACCGTCTGGTCCTAGTTCTTTGTGTAGTTTCATATTAGCAAAAGCTTTTCCAAGGAGGATCGGGAAGCGGGCATCTACGTTCTGTTCAGGTTCAGACTGGATTTTGAGCAACAGAAACGTAGCTGAGGCCCAGTTCTAATGTGCTCCAGTGTTCTCGCTGCCTATCCTGGACGGTTGTCAGCGTTCCATCCTTCCTGGTGGTGCTTTCACTCATCATCGACTTCTTGGCAATATCCTTAATAAGCCTAAATAGTTGGCTAGTGTTACCTAACGCTGATACCTTCTCCGTCTCTCTCGGCTTCGCTAACCATCACTCACGATCGACGTGAAGACTTAGTCAACCCACGTTTAAGTTGCTTTCGCTCTTCGTCGTGGTCAGAGACAGCTGGAATAAGTCTCCTTGCACCAGTTGTTTTGGAGATCCAGTAACATTTACTGAAGTTCGTGGATGGTGGGTAGGTTACCAGTCGTCTATACCACCGACTTTACATCAGACCTAATATCACGCTAAGTTTCCTCAAGATGAGTATTGCTGCCACGTTCAGGTAAATGTTTAGCTAACTCCTCTCTAAATACGTGCTTGGTGTCCTCATCTATGAATCGAGCACAGATCGGCCTCAACGCCTCCTTTTTCCTCAGGCTAGCAAGATGCAGAAGTACACGAGTCCATACTTTCGCGTGATCCAAGTCCAAACTGGTACTCCAGAAATAGCGGTAATCCTCCACCGATCCTCTCCGATGGTGACTTGTAGCAATGTGATCTATCTGTGTCCATCGTTGGTTTGAAGTCTGTAGACGCCATGTTGGACAGTGTCTCTTCTTATGTTTAAAGTTAATGCTGAGCAGAAACAATTGATTGTTGCTACAGAATTGCAGAAGAAGATCACCGTTGTCTGTCCGCTGGCATGAGATCCCGTAAATACGTTCAAGAATCCTTTCCGATTGGTTCAGCCTTCCTACTTGAGCGTTGGAGTCGCCTGCTATTATGACTATATTTCACCTTTCCGCTTTCCGTAGCAGAATTGACAACTTCTCAAAGAGTTCATGCTTTGCATCGTTGAAAATGTAGTCAGTGGGTGCGTAGACGGAGACTTTGAATAGGCATGAGTTGATAAGCGCACTTTCTACTCTACAGGTCAGTGCTATGCCTACACAGGCGAATTCATGAGAGCTAGTCACTGGGCATCTGCACACTGATAAGGTGAATTTTGTAGATTCATCGTGTTGGCCTGGTGAAGTAAATGTAATGACCACAATCGAATCAGGTCTGGTATAAGTATCCCAGAGACGAAACACACATCCATGGCTAGAGATTCCAGAGTTTTTGGCGAGCGAAGCTTTCTGTCCTATTTTGCATAGAGTCCGGACGCTGAAATCTGTGGCAGGTTCTTAGGAGACTGGGAATGAGGTTTTGATGGCTTTGATCGTTGGCAGTTGTCGCATAATGAGAGTTTGGGGAAGGTGTAAGAGGTGTAATATTGGTATCAAGAGATGAAGGGGAAGGAGACAGAGTTGATGAGGATAGGTTACGTTTGATTGGATGTTGTGTACTACTGGGAGCAGCCAGGTGGTTGACACTTCCCACACTATTGAAGGCTATTTCTTCTTGAGATATGTGTAGGAGAAAAAGATTTGTGTGACGGTATAGGCCATGAGATGTCTGCTTGAGGCGTCAAACATGGCCTTTTGCTGGTTGTTGTAACACCGGTTAGGGGAAACCTATACAGCCTGCACCGGATGACCGTGGGTTAGGGGGTAGTGTGTTGTTTTGTGGGTCGACCTTTTCTCACTACCCTTCCGCATTGGGAAGGCAACATCAGCGTGGTACTGTTAGTTGTCAAAGCGAAACTTCCTACTTTCTTCACACCTTTTGCAGCTAGCAGTAGTACGGCTTCGCCTTCAGACCCCCATCATAGTGTGGTAATTTACACTACCACAGTAACTGCTTTCTATTTTTCCACTATCCAACAGACGTTTCTGGCTTTGTAGGACCTCGATAGGACAAGCGTTTCAGTCAGTGTACCCCGTAGGATCATTTTGATACGCAAGCCGGGTCACTACGTCAAGGTAACAGCTGACAGCCGGCCGAGCTCGATAATTCTAGTCAGGTTTTGAAGTAATGGTACAGTCACCGGAACAATTAGATGCTTGGTGTTATTGGAGCCTATGAGACAGTTTCGCAAGTGTAACGTTTTCTTACAAAAGTTTGTTAGCTTGAATCTACTACACTGGCATTTGCGAAGTCATCATTATCAACATAGGACCAGGCATTACTGCGTAACGGTCCGAGTTGCCACACCTCATATCAGCACACCAAGTAAGAAGGTAGTGAGGTGAAGGATGAAGATAAGTGAACGCAGTCAAAAGAAATATAAAATACGAAAAGAAAAGAAAGAGGAGTGACAAAATGGTGAGATTCGGTATAGCGTTGTTAAGATGAGGATAATGTGTGTATACATCTGCGCCACTGACTTCGGTTCTGAGCCATATCACCTAGGGTCTCCAACCACTGGTTCCTCTTGTCCCGTGGACCCCAACCACCTAGTTTGCATCGTCCTACTTGGCTTAAACCAACAGTCAGAGACTTCATACATTGGTGCCATGTTTTAGTCTAGCCACCTCAGGCCTTTTTCCAGCCTGCACCCACCTCAGCCAACATTGTGTGATGAGGCAATCGGTGCCTAGGCATACGTAGTACGTGTCCCAACCATCTCAGTCGATGAAGGTTCACAACCTCGTCGACTGACTTACCTCTTCTCCCCAAAACTCTACACCTAACTTCTGAATTACTCATGTGGTGACACCACGGAATACGTCCTATATTACGAAGGCAACGGTGATCAAACACCTGAAGCCTTTTTGTATCCTCCACTTTCAATGGCCATGCCTCACAGCCATAAAAGTAGAACAGAGCGGACTGCTGTGCAGTACATGCGAAGTGCTACCAGAACAACAATTTCCGCTTCCTCGTTATTATGCTGTTTGAAATCTTTCATGATAACTCGGAAGAATGTTCTCGATGACTTCCTCTTGAGGTTTCTTAGTTTCATATCCATACTGTTCAGGTGCATTAATACACTAGAGATGTTGTAATCGGATATTCCGAATAAATTAATTAGCGGTATGTATTCAGTATCGATGCAGGGGAATACTAATATCCAGTTTCGCATTTCTATGCAATTATGTTCAGAATATTTACGCAGTAGATGGTAGAGATAAAATATTTCAAGTGTTATATATTCGTTTTTATTGATGTTCTGGTCTTAGCCTTGGATTAGATCTTATGGTTAATGAACTAAGGAAAGTGCCTAACACCCATTATAACTAGTATTATTAACCGAATTGCTATGTGCAAGTTGGGGGACTTCAAAGGCCACCCTAGCAACGATCGAAATAACCAATTAGGTTTCTTCATTTCAGCTGGCAAGGCAAATTTTCATAAAATACATGAGTCTTATTGGTTATTTCAGTTGCTGCTGGAGCGGCCTCTAAAGTCACTCACGACGAGGAAATTTTAAGGACTACCCCAGCAACAGTTAAAATGACCAATCATGTCATGATACTCTGGCTAGAAAAGGTTTCTTGTGAAATAAGGAGTAATTGGTTACCTCAGCAGTTGCTAGGGTTGCCTTTAAAATCGCCTGAATGACGATAGATATAGGGAGAACATCTCCAATTGACTGCTCGTTGCCCTCATTTTTTCTGGTTACGGGGACGAATTTAAAGGCCACCCTAGCAACAACTGAAGTAACCGATCAGGCTTCTCTATTTTGTGAGAGTCTGCCTTTCTAGCCGAAATGGAGGAATCTGATTGGCTATTTCGATCGTTGCTAAGGTGGCCTTCAAAGTCATACTGCTGCGGACACAGCAGTAAGAATTAAAATACTTACTATGATTGACTGGTTTCATACTGATGACTTACTGTTATCGAAGACAAGACTAAAATGAATTCTCTCTAGTCTATTTAAAAATTTCACACATAAAAGTATCAACGTTAATGGTACTCCTTCATTATACTTGTTTTGATTTCTTAGCCTGCTTCATTTGATAAACATGGGTCGTTTATTTATAATCACAACTACCATTTTCACTATGTATGCAATATTTTTGTGACTCGTCAAATCGGCCTTTGCCAACTTACGCCACTTATGGCGCCGCCGTGATATCCGATTATCTATTAAGAGTCACATGTACTTCGCACCAGTCCACTCTGTTCTTCTGTATGGCTGTGTCACCACGTGAGTAACGCAGACGTCAGGTGTAGAGTTTTAGGGAGTGGAGGTAAATCAGTTGACGAGGTTCTGAACCTTCATCGATTGAGGTGGTTGGGACACGTATTACATATGCCTAGTCGCCGACTGCCTCGTCACACAATGTTGGCCGAAGTAGGTCCAGGCTGGAAAAAGGCCTGAGGTGGCTAGACTAAAGCATGGCACCAATGTATGAAGTCTTTGATTGTTGGTTTGAGCCATGTGGGGCAATGCAGACTAGCTGGTTGGTGTCCACAGGATGAGACAAGAGGAACCAGTGGTTGGAGACTCTAGGTTATGTGTCTCATGACAGAAGTCAGTGGCGCAGATGTATACACACATTATCCACATCTTAACGCTATACCGGATCTCACCATTTTCTCTCTCTTCGTACTTTATATTTCTTTTGACTGAAGTTTCTTATCTTCATCTTGTACCTTGCTGCCTTTTCACTTGATGTACTGTTATGAGCTTTGACAACTCGGTTCGTTACGCAGTAATGCCTGGTCGTATGTTGATGGATAGATTCGTAAACTGAGTACTGTCACCAAGATCCTTATTTGTGTACTGATGGTTCTGTTCATGGTGATGTAATTCGTCTTCGGATTTTTCCATTCTCATTTGACCGGTCAAAATGTTTCATTTTTATATTACTACATCTCGTTCAATAGTCTAGTTCGTATTATGTAAGTATTTCCATATTGCATCACTATAAATTCAGCTGACGAGTTCTGTTGTAATTCATGAACTAATCAAATCCTGCTTTCTTGACTTTGTCTACCTGTTGTGAATTCCATTCAGCATGAATGACTTCTTATAATACCAGCAATTATAATAGCTATGTGATAAAAAAATGAAAATAAACGTCTGATATTACTACTTACATGGAAATGTGGTTTACGTATGTCGCCAATGCAATACTTCAGCCTGAAAACGTTTCCAATTATTCCAGGGACTTAAACTCGGAAGCCCGCGGTCACGAAACCAGGCTGCGGAATTCCGGAGGTTATTGTTATGCCTACACTTTTGTATATCCTTAATTTCTTACAAACTGATCCTAATTGAGATAGCATTGAGCAATGAGTTGGTGTGTGACGGCTTCCTCATTCGTAGAAGTTCTGAGATTCCATCAAGAGATATGCCTCAATCGATATTACGAAAATAACTGTGCTTATATCTTGATGCGCATTACATTTACTCTGAATAGACATTCACAAACATTGCCAGTGCAACAGGTGATGTAAGTTCACAAAAGTCGAAACTAAATCTACCAAAGTAAAATACATAGCACACTTGGAATACAGTTAACTGAAACAAATTGCTTAAGGGCTAACTGAATAAGTAATTCATTTCATAGCCCATTCACATAAATGCAAGTACTGACTATTTCATCTATGATTGAATGCATTCTCGATGTTTGTAAAGTGGGGCAATAGCTCGAGGTTCTAGGCAGTCGGTTTTCAACCAGTGGGTCATAATTTCTAACTTCGTTCTACTTAACGAGGCTTGGACAGCCGGACAGCATAATTATGCTTCAAACAATAAGCCTGATTCACTGTTTGATATAGATGGTTGCCTAGACTTATTAATTTTTTAGATATGGTGAGAAAACATCAGACAAGATGTTCTTGGTGTTTTGACCTTGATAGGTTTAAAAAGCATGTCTAGACGTAATGGTGTAAAAAAGATTTACCCAATGGCCAGTCTATTTAACTCTATCAGGCCGAATTTTGATCCTGAAGTTTATAAAATATTAGGGAATAAGCTTATCAACATATATATTTTTCGGATGATCATTTCAGTAGGAAACTTAGAGACCCACTAACATCATCTTGTGAAAGTAATATCAAAAACACAGTAATTATAAAAATGAATCATTTCAGAATAAAGTGTTCAACCGAACGTAAATTACATACAGTTAAATCCGGTACTAGGATGTTATTATAGCAATAATTTGAAGTCAATAGAAAATTTCTTTTTACAATAGAATAACCATGTCATAAACCTTGGGACTGTATTATCGATAATAAAACATGAATGGTGTTGTTCGTCATCATTCTGAGTTTTAAGAAGCTACAATCGATGGAGATGGATCACCGCTATGATGACTTGTGTCAATGGAAGTTGAATCTAAATTTATGGCCTTTAAAAAGAAGTAGAAAGTGGAAATGGTCAAAATATTTTAACATGGACCACCCAGCAAATACGTTAGTATACATAACTTACCATTGCCTTCTTAATATAAAAATAAAGAGAATAGCCATATTAAGAAATAGACAGTTGAAGTCAGAGGAATAGAAACAGTATAAAACCTAGCATAAATGAGTTAACTATCCGAGTTGGCACCTTTTACATCAGTAAACACAGAGGAACGCGTCATCAAGATGACAGAAGTCAAAAACACTACCAGACGCATAATGAATACAGAATTTTATCATTATTATTATCTGTCCCTTGGGTTCCTAGTGGAACGTAGCACATCTCCGTTTCACCCTACTCTGTGGAGTCTTTTGAAGCTGGCTCCACGACTGCCCAGAAGCTTTCATTTCTTCCTCACGCCATCTCCTCCGTATCACCCTCGGACGCGTGACTCGTCGTTTCCCCCTTGGGTTCCACTCTAGGGCCCAGTGCATGATGTGCCCGATTGGTCTTCTTAGTGTATGCCCAACCCAATCCATCTCTACTTCCCTCTGGATATTTGTTGGGTGATGGGTATTTGCTTGGTTCATTGCCAGAGTTCCTTGTCGCTTATTCTTTCTGGCCATCTGGTCTTCAGTACCGAGTGTAGACAGGTGTTGATGAATGTCTGTAGCTTGTTAGAAATGCTTTTCGTAACGCGCCAAGTCTCTGAACCATATAGAAGCACTTACTTCACTTCAAAGACATCACTGAGCTTTCCATTGTGAGTCATTTAGCATGTAGCCTTATCACATAGCATATAGCTGTCGAATGAGGTTGATAAAGGTTTGTGGCACTAAAACCGTAGTGTTGAGGCAGCTGCCTGCCACATTACTTCTCGGCCGACGCTGTCGAAGGCCTTTTCAAAATAGATGAAGTTGAGGTAGGGAGTTGACTGCCATTCTATGCTCTGTTCCATGATGATGCGTAGTGTAGCAATTTGATCTACACATGATTTTTTCCTGAAGTCAGTCAACCTGTCCCAGTCGAAATCTTGAATACAGAGCATTTCCCAGTCTCTCAAGGATGACGCAGCTTAATATTATGCTTCAGGTGAACAGGAGCATGATTCCACACCAGTTCTTGCAAACAGTTGGGTCTCCCTTCTTTGAGAGTTCTTCCAGTCGGAAGGTACCTTTCCTTCCAAACCTTCTGCAATAATGGTGTGAGCATGTCCGCTGTTGTCTCTGTGTCTGTTTTCAGTGCTTCTGGAGGAATTCCATCTGGTCCTGCTGCTTTCCTGACTTTCAGCAATTTTATGGTATTCAGGACTTCGGTTTTGTCGGAGGGTTTGCGTTCACTGATAGTTCAACGGCTGGGCTGCTGGTGGTATTTCTGGGCGAGTTGCAGGTGGTGATCGATTCAAGAGTTTTTTGAAGTGGTCAGCCCATCGTTTTGTTTCCTTTGTTTCTCCTCTTTGGTAACTAGGTTTCCTTCACTATCTTTTATCAGTTTCATCTGCGTTGATTTCTCCCCAGATAATAACCTGGTTATTTGATTTGATGTTGTGTTGTCAGGTCTCTGTCTCTCCTACCCGCAGCCTGTTCTGCTTCACTTGCCAGTGTGTCGTAGAAGTGTCTTTTGTCTTCGCGCATTCTTCTTCACTTCTTTGTCCAGTGTTCTATACCTTGTGTTCAGTTCCTCTTTTAGTTGTTCATCATTGCACTGCACTGGTTCATCTTCTGCTTCACCATCTTCCTCTCCCTCCTCTATCAGCTTCCATGTGTCCGTCGAGATCCATTCCCTGTCTCGTTTCTTCTTCCTTCCTAACACGGTTATGCAGGTTTCCTCCCATATCTCTTTCAAAAAATTCCAGTGTTCTTCCACACAGGTTTCTTCATGGATGTTGCTCAATATCTCCCATTTTGTCCTGATGTCTGACGTGAAGATGTCCTTCTGTTTAGTTTCTGTTTTGGGTGTTTTACTTGAACTGTGGTCTATCATCACCAACTTCTGTGAAGGCTTTCAACTTGATTTTGAAGGTTCCTTAGACTAGATAGTTGATGGTGTGAACCTACATCTGCTCCCCTTCTTGATCTTGTGTCCAGTAGACTGCATTTCCACTTTCTTCACATTGAGATGAAGTCGATCTGATTTCCATTGTAGTGTGTCCCGGCGTCTGGTGAAATCAAATTCATGTCGCTTCGTGAGTATCCTTGTGTTTGTACACACTGCTTCCAATCACCAAGTCAACAAACAGTTCTCCATTCTCATTTATTTCACCGAGTGCTTCTCAACCGATGATCGGTTCTCTTCCTGTGTTGTCTGCTCCCAGTTTGGTGTTAAAACATGTCACTCCACCCATTAGAATTTTGATGTCGCCAACTGGAGTCTTGTCCAGTACTGATTGCAGTTGTCCGTAGAACTCCTCCTCCTTCTCTTCATCCGCATTATTTGTAGGTGCATAGCGTAGCGTAGCATTGTATGATTGTGACTTTCCTTCCTTTTGAGTTGAATCTTGCTGTCATGATCCTGCAGAAGGAGATTGGTTTCCACTACATGAGAGCCTTCGATGCTCTAGGGGACATCATGACAGCCACTGGAAAACTCAGTTTACTCTGCTCATGGTTGTCGTCTAGGTGACAGCATCGGAGTAGATTATTGACTCCTCTGCAGTTGACAGTTTGGAGAGTCCACTTTCATTCCACCTGCTTTCGCAGATTCCTATCACTTCTATGCTATACCTTCTCATCTCATTTGCAATCTGGGCAGCCTTGCTAGGTTCAAACATTGTGTGGATATTCCATGTCTTCATTCTTACTTTCGCTTTTATCGAGAGAATACACATCGGCCAATTGGCTTCCCGAAGACTCACCAACCGGCGTCATTTCGTCTCCCTGATTCCAGAGAGGAATAAGTTTGTTTTTATTTTTTATAACTTCTTTGTGTTTCAAAGTTTTTTTAGCGGCTGGATTAGTTTTACGGGGTAGGGTTGGTAGCCCTATGCCCGACCTTCCCTCTTTATCCGTGTTTAGGACCGGCTAGTAACCAGTTAACTAGGCGAGGTTGGATGGAGAATTAGACAGCTAAAATCATTTTATGTACCAGTACAATTTCGGCAAAGGTAATGATGAATGTATTTGCGTCGCGGCAACCACTTTCGTCTTGTTAATACGACTTAGACTAACAGTTAGAGACTTTATGAATTAGGGTCCTGACCGTCGGGTGTAGGCTGGGAAATCAAATACTTTGTGCAGCTTATGTAACCATAGCTGTACTGGTGAGTGTTAACTGGTGCACATACATTGAGGTAGCATGTAGCGGCAGTCCATCGTTAGTCTACAGGAATTATTTGCCGACTGAAAGTGATCCAAACTTTAGACAAAAATGTTTTCAGCGATCTGGACCACCGGTCATTTAAACTTTTAGGAGTAGTATCGTCTATACAATCAAGGTTCAAAATAAAATTTTCCTTGGAAATGAATGGTTCCACTGTGTTTTGCTTGGGTTTCCACTCAGTAAATATTTATTTATATGGGATGATGACGGAAAGTGGAGTGAAATCTTGTTTGCGGCAGGATTCGAACCAGAGACCCCCAAGGTTACTGGCTCGGCACTCTAACACCTGAGCAACGAAACCCACCTGCTAACCTGATCTTTATTTCTCTTCAATCCCAAAGGGTTTTGCCCGGCTACCATGTGAATTTGCGACGCGTTACTATTCGTTCATCGCTGTACAGCCAGAACTTCTCATCCTTATTCAAATCATCCTAAATTGGAGAGGGGGAGCATGATACCGATCATCAATTTGACTATTTGAGATAGCCATATCACCCAGTATCAATAAAAGTCTACCAAACCATGGCTATCTCAGATAGTAGTCGCATGAGTGCTAGTCAAAGTCACTCCAATTCATCATCAATTGTTTTATCTATGCTCATTCTTCCGCTGTTTGATGGTAAATTATTAAGATTTCTCTTCCTAATCAACGGAGTCCAGTTTTTTAGACGTGTCTGCTGTCCCTTCCATATCAGAGATGTTTGAAGCGAACCACTGGGTGTTCATTTTCAAAAAAAAACATTCAGCAAAATAAAATTCGGATATTACTTCAGATTCTAACATAAAGTTGATCAACATATATAGAGCCATCCCTTGTAAGCTTATCTACTGAATGTTGTAAAAGAACAACAGTCACCATCATCACCATTTGGTTCTGAGGAATTTATCAAATTGCAGGGGATTTTTCTAAGAACTGAAGTTGGTTCGATTGAAAAGGTTTCGGTTATCAAAACTATTTCTCAGCTGTTTTCTACCAAGAAAGATAACCAAGAATTTGATCTTGTGAATGTGTCTACAGGTCATATTTTAAATAAATTTTAAGAACGAAAAAAATCGACTGACCAATCAAATGAATTCTAAAGTAGAAGATCATACCCGTAAAGCTGCTTGTCGTACAAGCTCTAAATCCGTAAAATCTTCTAAACCATCAAAAGAATCAGTAGGAATATTGTATGGAACGCTTTGATGATCTAACATAATGTTAGAAGTGTTTTCTGATGTTGACAGTTGCATAGTATCATCTAGATTGTTATTTGAAGGTGACAGGTTATTTTCTTTATTGACGTTGTCAATAACACGTAGGGTATTACGTAATTCTGATACTTCAGAGTATTCCATAGTAGAGCTGCTGGTAGATAAAGTTGCTTCTTTATGTGTATTATCCGATTCAGAAACTTTACACTGTTCTTCCTTTGCATTATGTTCAGGTATATTGGTGACTGACTGATTATCCGAATTATTATTGCGAGAGCTAAATAGGGGAAATGTATTGAAATCTAATAAAAAATATTATACTAGATAAACAAACTAATATATAACCAAAGCGTGCAATATACACTCTGCGGAGATATAAGTAGTTCGGTACTGGTCATAATTGGCCCGATTAATGGGATTTAAACACTCTGTTTAACGAAGGACCGAATCAACAGCAATCCAAAGAAATTAAAATCTCTTATATTACTTCAAAACCTCGCCTGGTTAACTAGTTTACTAGTTACTAGCCGGTCCTAAGCCCGGGTAAAGAGGGAAGGTTGGGCATAGGGCTAGCAACCCTACCCCGTAAAACAAATCTAACCGCTAAAGAAACTTCAAAGCACAAACAAAATATAAAAAATGAAAACAAACTTATTCCCCGCTGGAATCGGAGAGGCGAAATGACGCCAGTTGGTGAAAGCCTTCGGGAAGCCAATTGGCCGATGTGTCTTCTCTCGATGAAAGCGAAAGTAAACGTGGGGACATGGAATGTCCGCACGATGTTTGAACCCAGTAAGGCAGCCCAGATTGCAAGGGAGATGAGAAGGTATAACATCGAAGTGCTTGGGATTTGCGAAAGCAGATGGAATGGGAGTGGACTCTCCAAACTGTCAACTGGAGAATCAATAATCTACTCCGGTCACCCAGACGCCAACCACGAGCACACTGAGGGAGTGGCTATCATGATGTCCTCAAGAGCATCGAAGGCTCTCATGCAGTGGGAACCAATCTCCTCCAGGATCATGACAGCAAGATTCAACTCAAAAGGAAGAAAGGTCACAATCATACAATGTTATGCACCTACAAATAATGCAGAGCAAGAGAAAAAGGAGGATTTCTACAGACAACTTCAATCAACACTGGACAAGACGTCAGTTGGCGATATCAAAATTCTGATGGGCGACATGAATGCCAAACTGGGAGGGGACAACACGGGAAGAGAACTAACCATGGGTCGAGAGGCACTAGGTGAAATGAATGAGAATGGAGAATTGTTTGCAGAATTCTGCGCATTCAACGATTTGGTGATTGGAGGCAGTGTGTTCAGGCACAAAGATATCCACAAAGCGACATGGATTTCACCAGATGGACACACTAAAAATCAAATCGACTTTATCTCAATCTCAAGAAAATGGAGACGCAGTCTACTTAACACGAGGTCAAGAAGAGGAGCAGATGTAGGTTCAGACCACTACCTAGTGCAAGGAACCTTCCAAATCAAGTTAAAAGCCTTCAAGGAAGCTGGTGATAGACCTCAATTCAAGTACAACACTCGGAAACTGAAGGATGAAACTACAAAGGAGATCTTCAAGGCAGCCATCAAGACAAAATGGGAGACATCGAGCAACATCCCTGAAGAAACCTGTGTGGAAGAACATTGGAAGTCTTTGAAAGCTATGTGGAAAGAAACCTGCACAACAGTATTAGGAAGGAAGAAGGTGGAAGACAAGGAATGGATCTCGACGGATACCTGGAAGCTGATAGAGGAGAGGAGGATGGTGAAGCAGAAGATAAACCAGTGCAAGGATGCTCAACGACAAGAGGAACTGAGCACAATGTATAAAACACTGGACAAAGAAGTGAAGAAGAGTGCACGCAACGACAAAAGACACTTCTACGAAACACTGGCAAGTGAAGCAGAACAGGCTGCAGGTAAGAGAGACCTGACGACATTGTATCAAATAACCAGGTTGCTGTCAGGGAAGAGACCAACACAGATGAAACCAATAAAAGATGAAGAAGGAAATTTAATTACAAAAGAAGAGAAACAGAGGAAACGATGGGCCGACCACTTCAAGAAGCTCTTGAATCGACCACCACCTGCACTTCGTCCAGAAATACCACCTGCAGCCGCTGAACTACAAGTGAACATTAATCCCCCAACGAAAATGGAAGTCCTGAACGCCATAAAGCTACTGAAATGTGGGAAAGCAGCAGGACCAGATGGAATACCGCCAGAAGCACTGAAAACAGATGCAGAGACAACAGCGGCCATGCTCACACCACTATTGCAGAAGGTGTGGAAGGAAGAGAAGGTACCTGACGATTGGAAGAAGGGTTACCTTGTCAAACTGCCGAAGAAGGGAGACCTCAGTGCTTGCAAGAACTGGCGCGGAATCACTCTCCTGTCCACCCCAAGTAAAATATTAAGCCGCATCATCCTGGAGAGGCTAAGGGATGCACTGGATTCAAAACTACGACCGGAACAGGCAGGCTTCAGGAAGTACAAATCATGTGCAGACCAAATTGCAACGCTTCGCATCATCATAGAACAGAGCATAGAATGGCAATCACCTCTCCACCTCAACTTCATCGACTTTGAGAAGGCCTTTGACAGCGTCGACCGAGAGGTAATTTGGAAGCTGCTTCATTACTACGGAGTGCCGCAAACCTTTATCCGCCTCATTCAACAACTATATGAAGATGCCACATGCCAAGTAATCCACAATGGGAAGCTCAGTGATGCCTTTGAAGTGAAGACAGGAGTGAAACAAGGTTGCCTACTATCCCCCATGATATTCCTTATTGTGGTGGACTGGATCATGCAGCAAACAGTAGGCAGCGAGAAGAGGGGGATACACTGGACGACGGAAAAGAACCTAGAAGACTTGGATTTCGCCGATGACTTATGCCTAATGTCACATAAACTTGAAGATCTGCAGGCAAAAACTAACAAGTTGATAGAAGAGGCAGCGAAGACGGGACTTCAGGTGAATATAGAGAAGACAGAAGTGATGAAGATACCGCACCACCACCATCAACAACAACAACAAACTCCAATCACTGTCAACGGGAGAAACTTAAAGGAAGTAACCTCCTTCACTTATCTAGGAAGCACTGTTTCAACTACAGGCGGGACGGACGAGGACGTCAAAGTCAGAATCGGAAAAGCAAGACAGGCATTCATTAGCCTGAAACCAGTGTGGAGATCTTCTGCACTCAGCATGCGGAACAAGATACGGATTTTCAACACCAACGTCAAGTCAGTGCTCTTGTATGGCTCAGAGACTTGGCGCGTCACGAAAGGTATTTCCAATAAACTACAGACATTCATCAACAACTGCTTACGCTCGCTGCTGAAGATCAGATGGCCAGAAAAAATAAGCAACAAGGAACTCTGGGAACGAACCAACCAAGAACCTATCACGCAACAAATATGCAGGAAGAAGTGGAGATGGATTGGCCATGCACTGAGAAGGCCGACTGAGGACATCACGCGTCAGGCCCTCGAGTGGAATCCCCATGGGAAGCGACGAGTTGGACGTCCAAGGGTGACATGGAGGAGGTCGTGCGAGCAGGAAATGAGAGCTTCTGGGCTGTCGTGGGACCAGGTTCAAAAGATCTCAGAGAACAGAGGTCACTGGAGGCGTGCTACTGAAGCCCTATGTTCCACTAGGAACCCAAGGGACTAATAATAATAATATTACTTCAAGTTTAGATAAGGTCAATGTACCACACATAAACCCATATAACAGGTACATTTTGATCTGATTATTGATTAGCCTTCTTCAAGGTTTAAAGCTTGTTCTTAGACGACTTCATCATCAGGATTTACTTCATACAGCTCGGAGAACATCAAACAATTATAATCTTCATCGTGAGCTATAAATCTTCTCGACTAAATTTTAATCTGTCCAGTAATATACACGATAAGCAAAAATGAAGCGTAAAATCATAGTAGGTATCCAAGCAGACAGATGAAATCAACGTAGACTTTTGTACAGAAGTTCATCGGTTCAATTTGTTTGTTTTACTATGAATTCTTTAAATTAACTGCTAAATCTACTGAAAAACCGTTGAGCTTATTTACACAGAACTTTGAATACCTGCAGTTAGTTAGGTTTTTTATCTGAACTTATTCAACAACTCAGCGGTAGTGATATTTGAGAAATGAGATAGGTGAATCTATGTAATTTGTTCTCTTTGATATTACTCGATCTGTTTCGAAACTGAAGAATGATAATGCCGAGAAAGTGAAGTAGAAAAATGTCTCAAGTAATAGAGGTATATCACTAGCTACATTTAGTAAGTGATGGGTTTGTAGTGCACCTTCCAGGCACCAAAATGCAACTAGGGCTAAAATGAATAGATTAAATTGAATTAACTAAATAAACCTTTAGTTTGCCCCTTCGGATGCTTAAAGTGCCTTAATCTTTGTTTTAATGAGCATGCATCCGAGCAGGCTTCGACGCTATCTTGCGCTTGCTTTGTGCTGATTAACACGCTTATCCTCAGAGTCCCTAGTTCAGCCATACTAATCGGATAAGTTGGATAAACACTTCCTCTCTAATAATTACCATCACATTTATTCTAACTAAATATATTGCTTCTTTGAATATATTCCTGAATACCAGTCCTTTCGATTTGTGTTTCTTTATCAGTACTTACACGTTAAGTAAGGTACTGATTAAGCAGATACTAGAGCATATCGAGTTAAGCAGGGTTGGTCAAACGTTAAGCAATAATAACACAACCAGTAACTCCTACAGGTTAATAATATTGTGTTGGTTAGGTTCGAAATCAAGTGATTTTGAACTAGTGATTCAATTTATGAAACAGATAGATCAACGTGAAATGTGACACAGAAGTGTATCTGTTTACATTACCACATTTCATAAGAGAATGCAAAGAACAACTGGATAGAAAGAGAGTGATATCAAAGTAGACAAAAGTGTATAGGAGGAGACAGAAGAAATAAATGACAGTTAGTGAAAGTGTTAATATTTTAGAAGACATCAGAGAGTGAGTACATTTATGCTTTTGTCACTGATGTCTAACCATATCACTAAGATTCTAAAAAATATGATTCCCATCATCTCTAAAGCCTCAGAGCTAGGTAGCGTACATCTCTTTGGGTATAGCTTATATCAATTATCAAAGATTTCATAGAACCTTACCGCATCTGAACTTGATAACTCAGACTTCTTCCCATTCACAGAGAATTTGGCTAATATTACACCTCGACAATGCAACATATGTCCAAGCTAATTCAATTGGTCAAGGTTAACAAGCTCATCAATTAAGGCCTAGTAATTAATTACTTGAAAGACTGAGTATCTTCATTAAAAATATAAACCACATAAAATGTAAAAACTATCTTTTATAATTTTACTCTAAAAGTAACATTACTATTATTGTATCTAACAGAAACATACTTGTAATGGTTATCTTTCGCATGATTTTGTTCAGATAAATTAGTGTAAACTTGACTATTTAGTTGATGTCTACTTTCTATTCCATTTTTCTCTTCATCTCCTAATGATGAATTAGCATAGATCAGTGTATTTGATGAAAACTCATCTGTCTGACAGGCTGAAGCATTTTGGCTCACATCTTTACAATCAGTTTGGACAGAATTCGATGAAAAGTTAACGGATTTAATAGAATTGGCTAATGTCTGTGTAACTGATTCCTTCCAAGCTTTTAATTCTTCAACCTAGTTATTAATTATTAAATGAATATATGAATAAAATAGACAATGTTTAGTTAAAACATAACATGTACAATGCAGAAATTAGCACAATCATTGAGCATACATGCTATGAGTTGGGAGAACACCAAGTTGGAAACCCGGTGGTCCCTGGTTCGAATCCGGCCGTGGTTCAAATTTTCATTTCACCTTCAATCAGCACCCAGTAATCAATACTAATCTGTCATACCACAACTGTTTCAGATAGTCAAAATGATAAAAATAAAGTTAAGCTAAACTTGGGTAGCAGTCAGTCAGTCACGTCTGAGTACACGTTGACCAGTTAGAGTCAAGTATATAAAGGATATCGTACTACACAGTGGGAATTGTATCCTCTCTATAAATTATAAACCTGTATTACGAGGAAAATAAAGATTATAGTAAAGATGGATAGTGGCTAGCAGTGGGATCCAGGATGCGCATTTCGTCCTATTTAGGACTAGTTACCTGGATGTACCTGTCTCCCGACGAGGGGTTGTTCCCACAGGGGTTCGGACTCGGGAGCGACCACTTCAGACGCCAGAGCGTTATCCACTACACCACCGAGCCATGATAGCCCTTTCCTGTGCGACAGGTATAGTTTTAGTGTTATTGCTTGTGTTTCACCGTCGTTGACTGGACCAAATTAATCGGTCTCTACTGGCATATAGGCTCCTGTGCGGATGCCTCGATTTACCTGTGTAGTTCTAGTTAAAGTATCACTCACTGGGAGGCAGGTACATCCAGCTGAGGAGTCCAAAATAGGACGAAGTGAACATCTTGGGCTCCACTGCTAGCCATTATCCACCTTTACTATAACTAGGACTACACAGGTACATCGAGGCATTCGCACAGGAGCCCATATGCCAAAAGAGACCGATCAATTCGGTCCAATCAACAAAGGTATAATACAAGCAATAACACAAAAATAAAGATTTCCAAGTTTTTAGTAAATTCATCATCATTGAAACCTTACCACTGTCAATATTGTCACCATATCCTTTCCCCTCGTGATCCTTTTAAGGTGACTCCATATATTCTCAACCCTCTTTTTTTGTGTTAACTTTAAATATCGGGCTGGTACAGTGCTCCTTCCGAGCAGTAACATGATTGGAGTAAGCTATTCCACTTAAGGGTATGTACATATTCTCTAACCATCTATTTATATGACACTTCATAATCCTACCTATTTTCTGTATCTGGTAGGATAGGTTCGTTCTTCTGATCCATCCTTAATCCATTTAAAGCGACCTTTCTTTTAATGTCTGTTGTGCATAACAAGAACCTAAGGTTCGTCAAGATATATGTAACTTACCCAGTCTTGTTTAACTCGTCTTCCTCAGTTATATTTACATTTCCAAAGGAGACATTCCTCGACTTCCCCTATATTACTTACTTCTCAAAACTTGACGTTTAGCCTGGAGATTATTTCAGAAGAGACATCTCCGCACAGTATTGATACCATTGGACAGAGGAAACTTTACTGATATCCGTTAGCGCTCTTGTTGATATCACAAGTGTACCAATAACCTAATGTAATACTAGAATAAACACTTGTTGAAGAGTTTCATGGAATTCTGTTCTCAAAGATTTCTTTTCGTGACAGCTGGGATAATGAAAAATAAAGCCATCTAGTTTCTCATTGTTAAGTATGCAGGCCATTTTTACGCCACATTGACAATTCATACTTTATGCACATAATCCATTTCTATGTAAACAATCAACAACGTAGTCCCCGTTATACTTCCTCAACAGCTACTATCGAGTCAGCAGCATAGTTCAACAACGTATGTGCAACCTGATCGGTTGGTTCTCCGATTCGCTGTCAAAAAGTGCAACTGAAGTGTGATTTCATGGAGAAACCTAATTGGCTATTTTAGACGTTACTAGGGTAGGGTTTAAAGTCACTTACTATACGACTTGAAACAGCCTATCACCTGAAATGATGAAACACACAAGTAGAAAATTCCTTAAAATTCATTGGTTAAGGTTTTCATATAGAGAGATCTAATTCCACATTTTAGATTTACATCTTCCTCAGGTAAGTTTTAGCTTTCATTTGAATTTCAACAATCAAAGCAACTAACTCACATAATCCAAACGCCAAGTGTATCAAAAACTAGGTATTCTTATTTTATTCATACCATCAATCTTTAGTATTCATGATTCACTGTTGCATAATGATATAACGCATACAAAAGGCCAAGACGTAGATGATAAGGCATTAAATAAGATTATTTGTGTGCCAAATTTTCATCAGCTTATACGGGTCACCAAAACTTTTCTGATGACAAGAACAATTCAAGACATCAAAGAAAGATTCTGGGGTAGTAATCGTCATGGACTGATATCAGTTGAAGAACTATTGAAAACCTGGGAGCACTGGACATCTGTTTCATCCTGGTATAGGACTCCTTAGCAGCACACACCCACGACCCGACTAGGGGTCAAAGGCAGGACCTCGTGGAAAACGCTTAAATATTTCAACCACTGGGTCAGAGTTCAATGGTTTGCAGTTTCCAACTTCTGTCACTTCGCGATATAATGCAACTATCCACTAAGGTCTTCAGTAGGCATCCACTTCCCTTCCGACGGGTTGACTACATAGGTCATAACTTCTCACTAGAACTTCGAGATGTCCATCTGAACGCAGATCACTAACGAGTATTATACAATGGTGTATTTTAAGGTGATGGCAATTTTAATTTTGACATGCTTCTAGATGGATATCACGAAGTTCTAATGAGAAGTCATGACCTATGAGGTCAACCAATCGGATCCCATCTGTAGGCCTTGGGTGTTAGTTACGCTATATCGCAAATTGAGAGAAGTCAGAGACTGTGAACCACTGAACTCTGACCCAATGGCTGAATGGTTAACGTGTTCGTCGAGAAACCTGAAGGTCCTGAGTTCGATCCCTTGCTAGGTCGTGGGTGTGTACTGCTTAAGAGTCCCATACTAGACGAAACAGCTATCCAGTGCTCCCAGATTTCAATGGTTCTCCAACTGATGTCAATCCATAATGAATACTACCTCTAAATTAAAATCCTCATTCACCTAAAAATTCATTCAGTTTAGAAAGGGCTCTTATAAATACATCTACATATAATTGACAGATTAATTGTTGAGTATAACTCACCTCTCTCAATAAAATTGAATTGAACTTGAATGTAATTGATTTAGCTTAGATTCAGCATCATTTGTTTTATACTGAGCTTGTAGCTGTTTTTGTAAAAATACCACATGATCCTGTAATAATTTTGTTTGACTACCACAAGATGGACAACAGGATGATAAAGATGCTGAAGATGAAGATGTCTGGTTATAAATAGTTGGTGTATCAATATCCTGTGTAACAGGAAGAGATGTACAACTTGGAATCGTTGAAGTTTCTCGGTTGAGATTGGCTAAATGAAATCATTTGAAAGAATTGTTTATTAGTAGCTGATTTGATTTGGAGGATAGATTTCACTACAAACTGATATCACCATACATGACAACATTGAAATGACGAAGCATCAGGTAGCTGTTGTACCCAAATTTAAAATATTCTACCGGTGAGTCATACATGATCATACCTAGAAATTATAGTTCTAATGATGACCTTACAACCATTTAATCAAAGCATTGTGGATAATTCAGTACAATTATTTGTATTGGTCAGCCTAATAATCGATTCATATCATTTCCTAAGAAGCGAAAAGTTTAGTCCATCAACAATTCAGTTTTATGCACACATTTACTGCCTGCTCATTTGACCAAGTGAATTAGGAGATTATATGGCCAGCACTAATTTTCAGACCAGTGAATCAAAATCCCTTTATTACCACTGTTATATATTCCGGACGGTTATAATAAGCACATTTAACTGACAGCTGACACCGTACCCAATAGCCAGCGACAGTAACCGAGACGAATTGAGAAGAGACTGAAGCTGCATAGGAGAGTTTATTCCTCCCAGAATAATGACCAAAAACACGTGAGCATGCATACACACATAAGATTACGACCTTGTCCGCAAATTGAGACATTAGCATAGTGAGAGTAAGGATTAACCAATCAGCGAATTATATCACAAATGGGGCAGAAAATCAGTTAGTAGTCATGCTGTAAAAATGGTGTGAAAGTGAAAAGTTAAAAAATGTTCAGATCAATAAAAAGACTACGGCCTTCCAACAGTAACTAGAGCTCAAATAGGTGTGGAATCTTATACAGACTCAATTAACTTTACACACTAGACTGGAGAGAACCAACTGCTACTTCGATAACCCACGATCACAGTCAGAATTATCAGAAGCTGTACTAAAAATGTGAGGTTAATAACGACAGTCGAGGTTATTGCCGAAATATACCCAGCGAAGAAATATTCCTCCGCTGATATGTCTTGTTCTTAGTCAAAGTTATGCACTGAGTGTTAAGAAGTGGCCGAAATTGGAAATCATCATTCAAGGTCATTCGCCGTTGGGGTAGAAATATTTTCCAGATGAATGAGGATTTTTAATTTAGAAGTAGCATTCATCACGGATTGACATCAGTTGGAGAACCATTGGAAATCTGGGAGCACTGGATAGCTGTTTCGTCCTAGTATGGGACTCTTAGGCAGTACGCACCCACGACCTAGCTAGGGATCGCACTCAGGACTTCAGGTTTCTCGGCGAACGCGCTAACCATTCAGCCACCGGGTCAGAGTTCAGTGGTCCACAGTTTCTAACTTCTGTCAATTCACGGCTCATTAGTGAAATACTTGCAGATGGATATCACGAAGTCTAATGAAAAGCCGTGACCTGTGAAGGTCAACCAGTAGGGTTGGGAGCAGAAGTCAACTGAAGACCTTGCGTGATATTCGCACTATATCGTGAAATGACAGATGTTGGAAATTGTGAACCGTTGAGCTGTGACTCAGTGGCTGGATGGTTAACACGTTAGCCGTGAGACCTGAAGGTCCTGGGTTCAACCTTTAGCCGGGTCGAGAGTACGTACTGTCGAGGAGTCCCATACTAGGAATATTTTCGTTTCAGAGCTTGTTTTATATCTGTGTATGGTCGAATTATTTTTACTGGATAATTTTGTCCTTCAGCTGATTGCTGATCTAGTGGCATAATTTATGAGTAGAAGCTGTAAATAAATGTTTTTTGTCAAATAAAACTGTCTTCTTCAAGTCAGTCACAAATCCGTCTTTTGTCTTCTGATTTTCGGGGTTCAGTGAAATATCAGGTGTGGGAGAGAACAGTCGCATTACTCGTACCCAGTCCAAGTATCTTGTAGCGTTATTACTCATTTCGTTTTTATTAGAACCCACGTCCGACGCAGAGTCACATGGGGAAAGTAAAAAAAGTGATGACAGAAACCTTTAATTTTCATTGTAGCCATATTTTAAAAAGAAGTATTGTTGAAATGCGTTGAGATTGAATGCAAGGAAGTATTAAGCGTGTCACATATCTGTCCTACTGTAATCATGTAGTGATACAAAATGCAAAAAAATACAACCTTAGGTTTGCTGGTTAAGTTTTTGTTTTCAGCTTGCCAGCTAACCTTCTTATGATTTATTATTATTATTATTAGTCCCTTGGGTTCCTAATGGAACATAGGGCTTCAGTAGCACATCTCCAGTTAACTCTGTTCTCTAAAATCTTTTGAACCTGGCCCCACGACAGCCCACAACCTCTCATTTCCTCCTCACACCATCTCCTCCATGTCACCCTCGCCTCCCACTAACAACTCATCGCTTCCCATCGGGGTTCCACTCGAGTATTCTAGCCTGACGCGTGATGTCCCCAGTCGGCCTTCTCACTGTATGCCCAATCCATCTCCACTTCCTTCCTCCGCATATTTGTTGAGCGATAGCTTCTTGCTTAGTTGGTTCGTTCCCAGAGCTCCTTGTTGCTTATTCTTTCTGGCCATCTGATCTTCAGTAGTGAGCCAGCGTAAGCAGTTGTTGATGAATGTCTGTAGTTTGTTGGAAATACCTTTCGTAACGCGTCAAGTCTCTGAAACATACAGAAGCACTGACTTGATATTGGTGTTGAAAATTCGGATCTTGTTCCACATGCTGTGCAGTGCAGAAGATCTCGACACTGGTTTCAGGCCAATGAATGCCTGTCTTGCTTTTCCAATTCTGACTTTGACATCTTCGTCTGTGCCTGTGCCGCCTGTAGTTGAAACAGTGCTGCCTAGATAGATGAAGGAGGTTACTTCCTTTAAGTTTCTCCCGTTGACGGTGATTGGAGTTTATTGTTGTTGTTGTGGTGTGGTGCGGTATCTTCATCACCTCTGTCTTCTCTATATTCACTTGAAGTCCCGTCTTCGCTGCCTCTTCTATCAACTTGTTAGTTTTCACCTGTAGATCTTCAAGTTTGTGTGACATCAGGTACAAGTCATCGGCGAAATCCTAGTCTTCTAGGTTCTTTTCCGCAGTCCAGCCAGCGTATCCCCCTCTTCTCGCTCTCCACTGTTTGCTGCATGGTTCAGTCGACCACAATCAGGAATATCATAGGGGATAGTAGGCAACCTTGTTCTACCCCTGTCTTCACTTCAAAGGTGTCACTGAGCTGAGATGTCTATTGTTAATTACTTGGCATGTGGCGTCTTCATATAGTTGTTGAATGAGGCTGGTAAAGGTTTGTGGTATTCCGTAGTATTGAAGCAGCTTCCAAATTACCTCTCGGTCGACTTCTTATTATAAATGAAATGTATTTATAAAACCCCAATTAAGTAGAAAAATAAATTTCTGATGTGTCATGACTTCCAAGAAATTTCTTCTTCAACAAATAAAAGCTTTATAAATTATCGAACGTGTGCTGTTTAAAAATTCAATAACTTGTAAAGGTCTCATTATCCAAAGTTGCGAAACGTCAGAAATTTATTTTTCTATCTTCTAGGGATTTACAAATACATTTAACTGATAATCTATTTACCCAATGATCAACTTATTCAACTCTATGAGGTCAAATTTTGAGCTTAAAGTCTATACTCACAGGTCATATTATGATCACTTTGACTTTGGTCATGTTTTTGTACATAAAAGAATGTTGAGTTTCACTAATTATCATGCTTATGGCTTTTGAATTCGGGTTTTATCAGATGGAACAGTTAGGTTCTCTGATTCCACTCAGTTTTGTTATGGGATAGTGTTTTCTGATTGGTGATGCTGAGATGATAATATCAATATCTTGAGAACAGGTATCCGGTTTAACTACCAAGCCTAGTGTCTAGGCAACCTTGAATATTACTATCAATTGATCAATATTTTTTATCTCACTAACATGTAAAGTTGTAATATCAGCAATCCTGAGGTCAGGCGAAGGGTACTAGGCAAGCTGATTGATAAGGTTGTGAACCTTCATCGTCTCAGATGCCTTGGACATGTGTTACGCATACTGACTTACCATCTGCCATGACGCGCCATGCTAGGAAAAGTTGGATTAGATTGAAAGAGGGTTTAGGGTGGCCAGAGCAGGACGTGGCACTTATCCATGAAGTCCCCTGCTGTTGGAGAGAAACACACTGCCTGGTTTGAGTCCTCAAGATGATAGCAACCTATGGTTGGAGACTCATGGTGACATAGTGCACATGTACTCACCCCCTGACATCTACAGCTTAAATATGTACACTAACCTTTATCTTCAAGTTGTTTATTCTCTCACACAACTTCGTTTACTTTGATATTACTCATTTCTTTATCCACCTGTTCTTTATGTACTATTGTTAGGTGTGGCAACTTGAGCCAATGCACTTGTGTCCCACGTTCTACGTTGATTCTGTCTTTCTATCTGTCATAAGTATCGGAATATGCATTCTAGATAAATTTTTATTGTGAAAAATAGATCAGCTTTAGGTTTGTGGCGGTAAAGATTACTGTGATTTAGACAACATCATTAAGTGTTTAAAAAATACTTAAAAAAAACCCGCAACTCGATGCCATTCATTGACTTTATTCAGATGCACTGATTACAAGATAAAGATTTGAACTGAGAAAGAGTCAGCAGAGTCGAACAGTTATATGCAGTTCAGCATCCTTCATATCGGGAACTTAGCTGGCTTTTTTCACTGCATAAGATGAATGTTTTGATATGTGTTTGATTCAGATTGGAAAACAATTTCCGCCTCATCTGTATACAGAACAGAGTAGAGGGCCTTAGAAAAATACATTATTTCATACTTTTCTTATGACTGACTGACTGACCGACAAAATCAACGTAGAACCTCACATACGGCTGTATCGGCTCAAGTCGCCACACTTTACAGGAGTACACAAAGAACAGGTGGATAGAAAGAGTGATATAAAAGTACACAAAGTTATGTGAGAGAAAAAGCAATTCAAAGTTAACGATTAGTGCGAATATTCAAGCTCCAGAAGTCGACAAGGAGCGGATACTGCTGCACCATTGTCACCGATTTTCAGTCATGTCATCAAGAGTCTTCAACCGCTGATCCCTTTTGTCTCGAGGACCCCAACTAGATAGTCTAAAGTTCAACCACACGGCTCAGACAAACGGTAAGAGACTTCATGGACTGGTTCCAGGTCTTGGTCTGGCCACCGTGAACCCTCTTCCAAACTAACGCAGCTTCCCCTGGTTAATCTCTGGCGACCAATCACTGTATCAGTTCCATAAACCAATCATTGACTGTAAGTAACACTGGGTGATGCGGGTTCGAATCTCACGTGGAGCATTAATTTCCTCAGGGTTGCAGATATATCTTTTTGTCGATTACCTCCAACCAACTAACTAACATCTATCACAGTGGTGGATTTTAATAGTAAGCCTCCTAGCTTGGTGAGCACATTGCAAAATGATAGATAGAAAATTCAGTCAGCTCTCGAGTAACCAATCATTATAGTTTCTTTAACATTTTAGCAAGCTTTTTAATCTCAAGAAAAAGTAAAGGCATCAAAACTTATAGGCCAGAGAAAGTGTCTTCTTTTAAAGATAGAAATCAGTGTCAACTACAGAAGTACTAGCAGTTGTTAGTCGGATTGGCTAACTAACATTGATCTCTGATAAAATCTCCTTTAATTAAAGATCCGATTAATGAAGTATGCTATGCTAATAATTTTCAGAGAACAATGTTGAAAATTTAGTCAAAATAGTGTCTAGCCACTGAAAGTATACAATCAAGAAAAGACAATTTGATCTTGTATTCATACCAATCCGCCTATATATTAATGTAAGGCGGGATATACACCGACAATCTATAAGGTGTAACTGACAGTCAGGTAAATGAACTAGGAATGCATCATTATTTATTTAGTGTGACAAACAAAAGTAAACTTACTAGACATTGAATTCAATACTTCTGGATTATTATAAACAGCGATTGACAATTTAGGCTTTTCGTTAGATTCTACTGGTTGTCTAGATATTCTGTTAAAATTTCAAAAGAAAATTAATGAGATAGAGATGAAGAAAAGAACAACTTCTAGAGATATATAAGCTCAAAAACAGTTTGATAATTTATCAAATATTGTGGAGGATAGCTATTGTATAAAGGCTGTTGACATTATAACTACCTATCTAAAATACATTTTGTACATAGAGTAGATATTAAAGGTGAATAAACTACTAACACCTGAGTGATATCAACACTTAGTCATACCTTTGCTATTTTTGTTCTAACTGTTAGGAATTTTCAAATGGGAATTTGTGGGGATTTAATTTAATTTCAAGGTGGTTATTATCAAATAAGCTGAAGAACCAATGAAAACCTAGGGATATTAGATAGTGCAATACTGAAGAGTAGCAAACTAGCTATCTTCAGTACTTCTGGCGTCTAGTTAATTTCAATCTATGATGAAAACTAACTAGTTAGTACTTTATTGTTCCACTTAGGCAAATAAAAACCAAATCAAACGTGAGGATTCTTACTTACTAAAGGCATTGGATGGAGGTGGCGGTGTATTGCGAACTGAGAGGAGTAAGAAAATGTGTACCATTGGATTTCGACCAAATGGCTCAATGGTAACGTGCTGGCCACGGAACCTAGAGGCTCTGGATTCGATCCCCCGCGGGGTCGTGGGCATGCACTACTGAGGAGTCCCATACTAAGATGAAACACCTATCTAATGCTTTCAGGTATTAAGTGTTTCTTCAACTGATGTCAGTCCATGATGATTACCAACCTGAAATCAATAAATAAATCCTTACAAACCTCTAAATTGAGTTATCATATATATGGAAAGGTTAGAAACTAACTAGATATCGTCATTAGCGTCAACGAGGATTCTTGGTGTCGATAACGCCAACAATCATACAGATAAGATAAAACTAGTTTTCACCAAAAGTATACCAATGTTTGCTTCAACGTCTTGCTCTAATTTTTAAAGTGGTAATCTCTAATATTCTAAAAAAAATTACATACAAGTCACACTGGCTTTACAAGACGAAGTAACCTCTTCATTATACATACGCATGTTATTTTTTCTTGATAAGCATTGCATTGATTGGTCACAGGAGTGTAACCAATTTCATGTGGTCTAGTCCTGAGCGCAGACCGAATCCTATCGATCATATTGGCAACATGGCCACCAATCTAGGAGGCTCAGCATCACGGTGCATATTAGTGGATGTCAGTTGGTTGGAGGCAATCGGCAAGAAGCACTTGACTTAGGTTTCGTGCTTGTCGGAACTCGTCAGCAGGGTGTATCCGCAACCTCAACGGAACTGATGTCCCGCTTAAGATTCGAACCCATGTCACTCAGTGTAGTAGTCAGCGAGTTTACCACTGAGCTATTCGGGACGCGACTCACCTCCTGTAGGACTGGGTTAAATGTATTGATTAGTCACGGGAGTTCAACCAATTTCGTATTGTCTAGTCCTAACTGTTATAGTTGCATCTGCTCACATAAAATTGCAATTAAACACGTCCCATATTGCATTAGTTGGTTACGGAAGAGCAAACAATTCCATGTTATCTAATCCTGAGTGCGAACCGAATCCTATCGATCTTATTTCCGATGTAACCCAGTCCTACAGGAGGTCAGTCATGGCCCAGATAGCTCAGTGGTACACTCGCTGACTACTACACTGGGTGACGTAGGTTCAAATCCCAGGCGGGAAATCAGTTCCGTCGAGGTTGCAGGTACGCCTTGCTGACGAGTCCCAACAAGCACGAAACCTAAATCCAGTGCTTCTTGCCGATTGCCTCCGAGGAACTAACATTTGTAAGCTTTGTTTTACATAAGAATTTCGTCATTAAACCGAAGGGACGAAACGTACTCAACTTCCTAGTGCACATCCTCTCAGGAGGCAATGAGCCACACTTATTTTGTAAAGGCTAGTGATTCTACCTGGCTGTCGGAATCTCGGTAGGTGGAGCGGGGCTCGAACTCGGAGCCGACTGGTTGAAAGTTAGCTCCCTGTTGCAGTGAGCCACAGTTCCAACATCATTAAACCAAATAACTTTTACTTAATTTTCTTCGGTTTATTCAAATAGTACATTCATGAAAGTTAAAATGTTTTATTAAAAGACGAAATTCATTATACTGTCGGTGAAAATCGAAAATATCATAATGTTTCTTACATTGTAGAGTCAAAAGTCAACCAGTCAGCATCAAAATAAGACCAGGCACTACTGCACAACAGTTCAAGTTGCCATACCTCATGTAAGCACATCAATTAAGAATGCATTAACATGGAAGATAAGAGAACACAGAAGAAAACAGTCAAAGTGGTAGAAATTTGTGATAAGATAACAAGGAAGAATAAGATGTAAGGGTACATCTGAACTATAGAGATCGATTTTGAGCCATATTGCTTGGTCTCCAATCTCTGGTTTCTGTTGCCATGTGGACTCCAAAAATGAAGTTTACATTTCCCTACATGGGTCAGACGAACAGTCAAAGATTCACGCAATGATGCCATGTTTTAATCCAGTCACCCTTAACATCATTCAAGCACGAACCTACTGCAGATAACATTGTGAAGAGACAGAGGGGAATAGACTTGAATCACGCATGCCCCAGTCACTTCAGTCGGTGAATGTTCACACCCACATCAAATGACTTTCCTCTCCACCCTAAAACTCTACACCGGACTTCTACATTAATGACGCGGTGACACCACGGCACACAACCTATGCTACGAAGGCAATGGTGGTCAAACACCTGCGACATTTTCATATCTATATGATAAGACAGAGTGAACTGCAGCACAGTTTCTGAATAGAAAATTAGATTTCATGGCGGTGCCACAAATGGCATAAGTTGGCGAAAGTAAAGTGAGCACTTTGTATCCATGCAGAGATTTCGTCAGCCGATGACCCACCAGGGTTGATCTTACTTCTCAGGTAAGTGTAGTGGTCAATGCAATGAAAGTTGTAAGCCTTTCCAAGAGCAAACAATCTGAAAAGTCGCTGGAAGCCTTATTAATCCTCATAAAAGTACGTTTAAAATCGAGTCACCTGAATGACGAAATAAATCAATAAAATGAAAGAAATTAAAGGGTATCAGAAGAATTCTACTAAAACCTAGACACTCTGTTCCCTTTAATAATCTTTCTTTCCAGACAAACAAAATCAACATAGAACCTTTTACAGAAGTGTGTCGGTTCAACTTGTAACACTTCACAGTAGCGTGCAGAAAAACAAGGGGGAAGAAAAAATGATATCCCTCTTTATTCTAATTAAGAGAATCAATTTGTAAATCAAAACTATCAACTCAGGTAGTTTAATTAACAGCTAGGCAGTTGAAAAACTCTTCTCTACTTCTGAGGAATCTGGATTGAAAAGAGAAGATCCAGTCTAAAAACTGTTGTTATGAGGAACAGCCAGTCAGATATTTATCATTCACATAACAACGGGACAATATACAGTGCAAATAATAAAACTCAATTCAAGGTGAATGTACCAGGGTATGAAGAAGACTTGTTGTATTAAGGCTTATTAAATTAACCAGTTGTCTCAGTCAAAGTAACAGGAGAGGTGTTCAAACCCAAGACTAAGTGTTTGGACATCGAGTGCTTAGTTCAATGAGCTACAGTCTCCAGTTAGTCGTCTTGTTAGTCAAGTCCCCGGACAGTAATCCAGAGATGAGTTTTTCTGCCATACTCAACCATGTCATTCTTACATATGAAGTTAAGTCACTCAGTTGAATCAAGATGAGTAGCTAGTAAAACCTGAAAACAAACTAGAAACTACTCCACTGCTATGCATGATACCGTCATAGTTGACCGGTATAATGAACAGATTTTATAGTGGGTAAATTTCAAGGCCATAAGAGAATTCAATATTAGTAAATATTATTACTTGCCAATGGAAGATTGAGCAAATCAAGTGACATGATACAAGAAAAACAGTGATTAGGAAATGATAATAAATCCTATTAAATAGGTTCTATTTGATACTTTCATACAGTTAAGTTGTTTTATAAAAGTGAAATGGATAAAGAAGGGATTCAGCGCTTATTAGCAGTTCGGTCGAATGATTTGGTAACTACAAGAATGAAATTCTTACAGTTGCTTTATTGAGTTCTGAACAAGACTCTGAATCAAAACTTGGGAGTATGATTACTTCAGCTAACCGCCTGTTTTGGTTTGGTTTACAGTCGTTACAAAAAAAAGACAAATTATGATAACAGCGAAATCTACCTCGTTTGCTTTAAATGGAAATTTTCAACATTTTTTTAATGGTTTGATTATACAGAAACGAAAACTATTCAATACAATGAGGCTGAACAGCTAACAAAATTAACGTAGAACCTTGCACATAGATGCATCGGCTTAAGTTGCAACACAGTTATCAGAAAAGAACGTGTGCAACAACCCTCAAGCAGACGTTTCATGGGCCCTGTGGTCATACAAATCTTTTTCAGGTACCTTAAGAAGGAAGAGTTTCCATGGTGTAGGCAGCCGGAAAGTGTCGACAGCCTGCACACTTCCAGGAGTACACATGACCCAATGAATACTATGAGACTAATACATGAACAATCTACTCAATTCGTATATATTGCGTAGGGTTTTTAGGAAGTAAATACTTATGACACAATCTAGCTTGGTGGTGAAACTGTTTACATGGCGATTAAACTAACACGAACACTAAATAACTACGATTAAATTTTTAGTCTAACATATATTGAAAGAAATGAAGTGCATCCACCAATCTTGTGCAAGTTCGTGTAGTAGGCAATGAGCCACACTTAATGTGTGAGAGCTAATGATACTACCTGGTTGCCCAAACCACGGTAGGTGGGGCGGGGCTCGAACCCATGACCTACTGGGTGGAAGTTGTATGCTACGCTGTGTGCATCTAGGAATAAATAAATAATACACATTTTTGCTGGGGACCTGTTGCTCTTTGATTTAGGCACCTAGCCTTCAACCAGTGGGGTTAAGGGTTTGCAATCTGCTCTACCTAATAATGTTCAGGCCACCAAGGAGTATCATCACCCTTCATATAATAGATATGGTTTTTCACACAAACACACATGGTTGATGAAAATGTTTTCGTCTTATTGTACAGCAAAATATGTTGACAGTATCATTTTGTCGATATTTGACAGTTTTCCAATCATTATTTACCGTTTTGTGCATTACTGAGTGAAAGTTACTGTCAGTCAACAGTGATTGTAACTCGTTTTCCAGCTAGAATGGTGAATTTGATTATTTTCGACTTGCCGATAGTTGTAGTTTTTCTTTACGTTATATACAAGATACTGGGTGATGACTGAAGGCGAAATGAAAATTTGAACCAGTGATTGAAGTAAAATTAAAATGTGGTCAGCAGTCGGACATCGTAGCTCAATTGGTAGAGCATCAGGCAGGAAATCCAATGGTCTCTGGTTCGAATCCGACCGCGATCAGAATTTTCATCACACAATATCAATACTAGCCTGCCATACCATCCATAGCTATCTCAGATAGAATGATAATCAATATAAAAAATAAACGAATAATGTGAATTATCAAAGGTATGACATGTATTCAAATAAATGAATGATAAAGGGTGATTAGTATTCCAATTTTGGTTCAGCCAATGACTGACTGAGATTAAAAATCAAATAAAGTATGGGATATTCTTGTCATTGAGGTATATGCCGAATTATATTACTTGACAGTGTATAAGTAATTTATAACTATAACAACTTTGAAAAGGTGAAAAACTTACGGAGCAGTGGCAGTATCAATGAAGTTTGTAGGCTTATTATTTGCAACAACATATACACAGGAGTCTGATAACTTCACAAACTGAGTGCTTGTATTATCTCTAACATCTTCCGGACGAACAGAATCTGAGGATTCTGCGACTTTATTACCAAATAACCCTTTTACATTGGCATTATTAGGCAGGCTGATAATTTTATCTTCTTGGGTTCGCAAATTATGCTTCGAAGGAATATCTATTAAATCTTCTAATGGACCAGTAAATCTGTTGCTTTGAATAGTCCTTTCCGTTAATATGTCTTCATCATCATCAGCATCATCTTCACCATCATCCAGCAAGTGAACAGCATCTATAAGACCTCCTGCATGTGGTCTCAAGTTTTCGCCGGATTTGGAGCTATTCAACGAACTGATTGATGTATGCGAAAATCTGGTTGTCTGAGAGCAAATCGATCTAAAAAGAAAAAAAGGTTCAGTTCGAGATCCTTAAATTAACATAAATCGAAAAGGTAGGTGCAATTAAAGTAGTGCATAACTTTAATGAATGGAACGAAAAGCTGACAATTGAGTAGTTGAGTCTTTCAGTGGACAAAAACCTGGCTTAAACATTGTGATAACATATATATCTAAGTGGTATCACATTCAGTAAATTGCGTGTGTGGTCTCAACTCAGTGTTCTACATGACCAATCTCCAACTGTCAAACAGAGGAGATAGCTGAGAAGTCCTGAATTGGACGAAATGAACATCCTGGATTCGATTGCTAGCCATTATCCACTATTAGTATAACTCACAGGTACAAGGTGTGGTTTTTAGCTTAATATGTTCTGTTTGGTGTGCATAGAGAAAAATACTAACGCTGTTTGATGTCTCAGATAAAGCTATTCTTGAAACGACACCAACTGTTACAGGACTACATGAAAGCGTAGGTCACTATTTTATACTGAGGAATATTTTAAGGAGAAAGGTATTTTCACCTGATACAGAGGTAAAACTTGGTAGCCTTCTTCAAAAAGTTATAGACAGTTATGCGATAAGTAGTCACATGTCTGTCAGTGTAGAAGAAAGTGCAACACTAAGGAGTATCACATTGGTCAACATTTCAAATTCCTAAGTGACATGGAAAACGAAAATCACCGGTAGAAGGATAAAACATCAAAATTAGTTAAATAATCAAGTAAACAGGTGTGAAAGTTTATATATATTTGAGACTGAGAGTGAATAATAAACGGAATAATAATGTCAGACCTTGCAACTCGAATTTTATAACCTCCATACGTCCAAGTTAATAAACACGATTAGATTACTTTGTCATTTGCTATTACTTTATTTCATACTTTAGTTTTACCAAGTGAACCAGTGGAAGTGACTGCTTGAATAATACGAGAAAGCTACTGTTTTCCCTCAAACCAGTTACCCCACTGAGCCGCAAAAATCAGAAGAGAAAGAATGGTCTGGGACCGTAAGGAAGACAACTTCATTTGACAAAAAGTATTATTTGTATACGAACGACTTTAAACGTCACGCTAGCAACTGCTAAAATAACCAATCAGCTTTCGGCATTTCGTTTGGAAAGTTAGTTATTTCTAAAATACAGAAAAATGATTGGTTATCTCAGCAGTTGCTAGGGGGGGGGCTAAAGTCACTACTCATGAACAGTTTCTTCTCAGAAAGTAAAGCCACTACATCAGAAGTCGGATAATTATTCTGATTGATCAGTTGTAGGACAAAGTAGTCCAATAAGGTTTTCTCTTATCACACAGTAACATGATATGGTTATGGGTAATAACTTATGCTCGAAACGTCATCAAGGAAATAATACTAGATCACTGTGTTATAAATCAAATAAACAAATCTAATATGGAATTAATTTCCACCACACTGCCCAAGTTTTACATCTATATTAATAAAACAAGGTTGAAACCCAAAACTTCTACCTAAGCAGCTGAATTAGAAAAAATGATGACTCATCACGAATAACTACTTATTTCAATTATCGTGAAGATCGACAAACATTAAAATCAATAAGACAAATGTTAAATGTAATCGCCTATCGTTTTGATAAGGAATAAATCTCTTATATTGAATTAAATTAAATGATATATGAGATAAAAAGGAGACTAATTTACTCTGTTTCTTCTTGATTATTTCCTTGGCTAAAGTTCAGTTTAGTTTACACAACAGTGGCTAAGACCAACAGTGAAAGACTTCATGCAGTGGTACCACGTCTAATCACCCTGAGCCTTCCCCTAACCCAATCCTACTTCGGCTAATATCGCACGTCTAGTTAGGTGGTGGATCGGTATGAGCAACACATATCTAAGCAGTCTCAGTTGGTGAAGGCTCACAGACTCGTTGACTGACTTATCTATTACAGTTTGCTGAACCTAGACACTACTCACAGAGTGATTTCACTATATGTGAGCAATGCTGTGAAGAAATATGTGTTTAAAAACTTGAGGTCTCTTCACACATACTTTCAGTGGCCGCGTTACGGTTTCGTAATGAGAAAAAGCAATATGCAGCGCAGTGTACTCGTCCTTCAATGGGTAGTTGGATGTCTCACCAATGAGCGCCAAAAATGTTAAATGTTGGTAAATGACAAACGCGCTTTTGTACGTGAGGTGAGATACCGTCAGCAACCAAATAATTTGCGTTGATTTAACTTCGTGAGTCAATGAAGTGGTCAACTTCATATAATATTATATATATCTTTAAAATAAGAGCAGCTGCAGGAGACTAGTATTCTTTTGTCGCCCAACGACTTCGAACAACTCGAAGGAGAAACTTTCTCATCTGACCACCTCTATTTTCAAATACCAATTCATCTGCTCTTGTGGAGTCAGGTATGTAGGTTGTTATCCAAAAGGGTTCAACAACACTATCCTACGTGGTTACAAAAAGGTAACAATGGAGCGATAAGGAGTGCTATAATTGAACACATCATGAACTCGAATCATACTACCTCAAGAACCTCCTCGTTCAAAGTCATCTATAAAGTGAAAAGAAACCTTTCAAAGGCTGTATATCTTCGTATTCTCTGCATCACAGCAGCTCTTGCCATCCATACGGAGAAACGTGAACTGTGTACACAAAAGAGGGTTGTTCAATCTCTTCTCCTTTCATGGTCTTAGTTTTCAGTCTTCTCTACTCTCCTAACCCACCTTTTTCTTTTCATCTTTCCATTTTGACACTATTCACTTCTTGAGTAATTTGTTACTCGTTCTTGTTGCAATGCTCTGTCTGATCACAATTCAGTTTCCAATTATGTCATCTTGTTACCAAACTTCTTGTCCATATTTATTTTGATTATTATTTGCTACTCATCAGTTTTTGATTTTAATGACGACTCATTTATTGACACAAATTGTGTTGCAATGCTTGATAAACCGTTTTTAACTATCATATCCCTATTACTATCCATTGACATACTTGTGATTCTCCGTTGTTTGATTGGATGCCAATAGAGATGAAACAATTAGATCCTATAAAACAACGGAGAATTACAAGTAAGTCAGTAAATAGTAATAACTAATACCCGTTGTACAAGAAGTGGCCATCATCCCTACGTGGCATAGTGGATAACACCTCGGCGTTTGGAACGATGGGTACAAGGTCCGAGTCTCAGTGGGAACAACATCACTCCCTGAGGTCAGGCACATCCAGCTGATGAGTCCCAAACAGGACGAAACGTGTGTCCTGGATTCCTCTGATAGCTATAACCAAACAAATTATGAAATCTTTACGCTAGGAGAGTGTATAAATTTGCAATTGTACAGCTTTGAAAATGAAATCGCTGAAAAGAGACTCTTCGCTGAAATATACTTATTCTTCTTCCAAAAATATTTGTCGTGAGATTCTTATTTCTTTTTTTTCAGTCCTTTGTAACATTATACAATTGAAAAACATCTACGTCATAAACACTTACTGGTTTAAAGGAATAAAGTTTCCAGAAGATAATAATGTATTACTTGATGATAGTTGTTTATCGATGGTATGAGGATTAGCTTCATTTCCTATACTATTTGTACAAGTATGGTAACTTGTTGTATTCCTCAATGATTCTTTTACACCATTACTATTATTTGGTAAATTCAAGGGTAAATAAACTGAATCAGATGATAACAGTGATCAGACGATGAAATGAATTCACTATGATGATATGAATTTTTACTGGATGAAGCATCATACACTGGTCTGAACATCATCTTGCCTTCTTTGTCAGGAATAACTTTACGTGGTGAACAATTTCCAATGTCCGGTGGCAGATTAAGATTCAACATAGGCGAAGATGGTGGTACTGTACGATAGGGACACTGAAAGAAATTTTATTATGATTAGTTATTTCAATTTAGGATTGACTGAAGCTGATGAATGTGGAGAACTAAACATGCTATCACTTTGTGCACACTTAGTCTCACTGTTGTATTTAGGCTGATGAAGATGAACATCATTACTATTGTTGTTGTTCGAAACAGGCGTATTCCAAATAGGCCTTACATGAATACCATTCTGTTGATATTCCCTTGGAGCAGTAGCACCTGCTAATGTAGCTTGAAAAGTTTCAGTATTTTCATTTGGAGTGGATATATTGAACTGAAAAAGAAAGACATTAAATACTTCATCAAACTAACTGACAACATCAACGAAGAACCTCGCACACACGTGTATCGGTTCAAATTCCCACACTTCACAGTAGTACACAAAAAACAAGTGGATAGAATGAGAGTGATTTCAAAGTAGCCAAAGTTGCATGAGGAAAGAAATAATCTGGAAATAATGGTCAGTGCATATATTAAAGCTTCAGAAGATGTCAAGAAGTAAATATATTTGCGCCATTGTCAACGATTTTCAGCTATTTCATCGTGTCCCCAACCACTGATCCCTTACATCTTAGGAACCCCAACTAAGCAGTCTACATTGCCACACACGACTCAGACCAAAAGTAAGACACTTCATCAACTGGTAACAGGTCTTGGTCTGGCCACCTTCAACGCTCTTCCAACCTTATCCAGCTTCTTCCAGTATGATCTGTCGAGGTAGGGGTGACTTGGCAAGCATAATAAATATCCAAAGCATCTCAGTCAAATAGGGTTCACAGCCTCATCGTCGACTGGCTTGTCTAGTACATTTCGCCTAACTTCAACATTCCTCACACAATGATTCCATCAAACAGGAGAAACACAACGAAGACGTCTGTCATCAAAACTTAGTAATTGCTTCATGTCCTCTACTTTCAACGGCCATGTCTCGCAGCCGCATAACAGGACGGAAAAAACTGCAGTATAGTACACTCGTCATCTGACAGGTAGTCGGATATCTTGCCAGTTGGCGTCACAGATGATTCATGTTGGCAAATGCCAAAAAGAGCCTTCTGTATCCAAGCTGAGATTTCGTCAGCAGCCAACCCGTTTGAGTTTATGCAACTCTCCAAGTCAGTGAAGTAGTCGACACATACGACCAAAAATCGGATCCTGGAGCATTATCTTACATTTGACATGTACGACCGAAATGCATCCCGAACATAGATTTTTGCTCAACGCCTCCAAAAGACGCTATATTTTGTCAGCATCTTCACCTAGTAGGACAATATCATCTGTATGACCTACGGGGAGTCTATCATAAAGACTGTGAGTACACGAGAGAAGAAATGCCTACATATCGGAAAACATTTGTGAACTAATCTTTTAGTTTATTAATATGACAACTGATAATCTACAGATTTCTGCTACATATAACTTTGAAAAGCAATAAATGATGGTAAACCAAATAAACTTTGATAGCATTTGCAGCAGTGGATCCATACTTAAATAAACCAGAAAACACAGCTACTGACGAAATAAAATAAAATATTCCTATCCCTTCATAGTTCATATCTCCTGCCATCTTTCAATTGGTATTTAGGCTTAATATTATAGCAGGCTATTCAGTCGTCTTCTTCAGATGTGTATTACCAACCACTTATTTGGTATATCTATTTAATTCTAATCATTTAAGAATTCAACAAAAATATCTAGCTGGAAAGTTAATGTACCAGAATGGGAAAAAGATAAGACTGTTGTCCAGTCGATAACTGTGAAGGGAGGGAAATGAAAGGAAGACCGGATAATTGGATAACTGGGATGAATTACAATTTAGAAACCATATACATACTCGCAGACTAGGCAGTGAGTCACACTGTTGTGTGAAGGCCTATGATCTCTACCTAGTTGTCCACATTTCGGTAGGTAAAGCGGGGTTCGACCTAAAATTAGTGATGGAAAATAAATTGCTCTCATTAGTGAACTACAGCCATACTCATACAGTAGATTATTTATAATACTGAAAGGTGTTGATTTTTCTTGCTTTTTTCTGTTGAGAAGATTCATATTCAAGTAATGATCCAAAAACAAAATAAAATACATAAATACATACACATGAGTCTACTGACTGATGCTAGCCAATAAAGCTCTCAAGTCCAAATGATTCATTGAAATCTAACGATTCACTTTCATAGTACAATTAATTATCTGTCACTAAGATTACTGACATATTCCAATGAATACCAAGTATCTGAGAGCTGTACTGGTCATCATTCTACTACTGTTTCGTGTACAATAACCTAATGGCGCATAGGTTCAATTATTGCCTCAATAGCTTAGTGATCGGGTTGCATGAATATATCTTTTATTGACATAATACCAATTAATGGGAGATCTTGATTAAGAGCTTTCTAACAACTAACTGTAAACAAGTAGAAAATTCAGGACATTTATATGAAAAGAAAAATCAATAATACAGTTCAGTTCCAGTGCATCAACTTCGAATGATACATCAGCAGAGCTTAAACAACACTACTAAAGTGTTTTACACGCATAAGCATGAAAAACTTTTAAATCTGAATATGTTCATAGTTAGAAAATGGAGAAGTGATTAGAATGCTTAACTTATGATCACAGAATTTCCTTGCAGTAGACCTGGTAGGTGGTAGAATCATCATCATCATCATTATCAACATAGGACCAGGTATTACTGCATAACGGTCCGAGTTGCCACACCTCATATCAGCACATCAAGTAAAAAGGTAGTGAGGCGAAGGATGAAGATAAGTGAATGCAGTCAAAAGAAATATAAAGTACGAGAAGAAAGGAAAGAGGAGTGACAAAATGGTGAGATTCGGCATAGCGTTGTTAAGATGAGGATAATGTGTGTATACATCTGCGCCACTGACTTCGGTTCTGGGCCATATCACCTAGAACCGAAGTCAGAATAGAACTTTTTGAATTACACTATTTTCAACTGTTCCTAATTGAGATGTTTCAGGTGAAGATTAATGTGTTTACTACAAAACTCGAAAGTTCTAAGTATTATCTTGCATGTATTCTTTAATGCATAAAACCAAACTGATCATGGTTTCAATGACTTTTCTAGTTGGTAATCATTCCTGATGAAATCTATCTTAAGATTCTACCCTCTTTTAATCTGATTTGATGTTTCTTTACATCGATTGTATGGTGTTTATGAGACAAATAGTATCAAAAGTGTTATAATAGATTGAGGCAATAATGAAAGCGGACTGTAATCAAACTACTTTTGTTGTCACAAGCACAGATTGTTAATAATACCAATTTCTATAAAATAACAACAATACACATATCATATAGATTTACTTACAGGAACAGATGTAGGTACCAGTTCCTCAGAACAACATGTATTTGGTGTACCTACGAAATAAAACAATTGTTATTAAAAATATTCAACCGGACAAACAAATCAACGCAGATACTTTACATACGAAGAGGAAGTGGACTGAACTAAAGTGATATTGAAGTAGAGAAAGTGTATGACAGTTAGGGCTGAAAGTGAGGATAAATACAAGAAAGTATGTAGAAATGGTAAAGATTTTGAAGTCATATCACCTAAAGTCTTGAACCTTTGAAATCTAATACCGTGAGGATCCTAGTCAAGTAGTCTATGTGGTTCAGGCGAAAGAAAAGAAAAGTTGAAATATACTCAGAAACCTTGTGCATATATGTGCATTTGGCAATAAGCCACATCTATTGTGTGAGGGCTAATGAAACTGTAGTGGGTGCTACTGATAAGAGTGGATATAAGCAGAAGACGTAGGCAACTAACTACTAGCAATGGGCAAATATTCTGCCCAGAGAAATTCCAAGGGACAATGTGGGTGTATGAAGAGCAAATCGAGATAGAAGAGGAAAAAGAAGAAAAGGAAATGAAACACATTGTGCAAATGACTACTTTAATGGAAAGTGTACAATATGTACACTTTGCACTGTACAAAATATCATAATAAGCGTTCTGTCCTGCATCTTATTCTTTGTCCGTTCTTACAATACTATCTGACTACCCAGACATCAGTAAATAGAGCGGTGTTCATTACCAATCTACTGAAGGTCGATTCCTTAGACTGATGAACGACAGATGAACAGTTAGAGACTTCATGAACTGGTACTATGTCTTGGTCTACGCACTTTCCACTTCCTTCTAACTGTGCATATAATTATGCAGATATTATTGGTCATATCAGTCACTGAGAATGGTTAATAAAATGCAACTAATCAATTGATCATATAAATGAGTTATAATTTTTGTAGAAATAATTAACAACACATATTTAGAAATGTAGACGGAAATGCACGACACTTAGCGTATGTTATAGTAAGGTGAGTAATGTCTCTTCATTTTATCATCAGTAGTCTACTTTTGATTCTTAGGCGTGCTGTAACACATCAGAGGTGTAAGTAGCTGAAATTCATTAACCTCGCGATATTTCCTCATGATTTCAGCATATTGCAGTAAGCTTAGTTGAAACTTCTCTTCATCTGATTATTATAGTACTGTGGGATAACAAATTTTAGGCGTGTTTATTTAGAATGTTTTCATCGAAAAAGTGGAAATATAGACCTTTCAATGAAGTATTTCAAAACATACAAAGATCCAGGTTTTGTCACTATTTATTTCTCATATTGCAATATGAACTTAACACTAAGAATACTCTTACGGCAGCAGAATTATCATGACGTTATACTCAGAATACAAATAATTGATATCTTATTTATGAAGGAGTATATTATCTATGTAAGGTACTTCATCGCGTTGTGTTTGGGGACAGAACTCATAGCATCTGAAATAAGTTAGCCTTCATGTAAACAAACAAAATGATTAATTGACTGGAAGGTTTTCAAGGAATTATTTGACTTGAGAAGTTTCCATCACAAACCGATATCAGGCGACTTACACTGAAAATCATGAAACACTAGACAGCAGTTTTGTCCTAGTTTGAAACTCCTGAATAGTGCACCGCGATGCTGAGCCTCCTAACTTAGTGGCCACATTGCAAATATGATCGATAGGATTCAGTCTGCACTCAGGACTATAAAACATGAAATTGGTTGCTCTCTCATGACCAATCAATACATGTAACGTAGTCATACAGGAGGTCAGTCACGGCCCGAATAGCTCAGTGGTAAACTCGCTGACTACAACACTGGGAGACGCGGGTTCGAATCTCAGACCGCACATCAGTTCCGTTGAGCTTGAAGATACACCTTGCTGACGAGTGCCAACAAGCATGAAACCTAGGTCCAGGGCTTCCTGCCAATTGCCTCCAACTAACTAACTCCTGAATAGCTCATACTCATGACCCCGTAAAACATCGATCCCAAAGCCTTTAGGTCTTGCAACTAGCAGTTTACTATACAATTACTTGGTTGAAGGCCAGTGATCCTTATTTCTCAGGTTCCACCAATCAGCGATATAACAGAAGTATAATTCAATATTACAATAATAGCTAACGTGATGTAAGTAATGTCTTAATCATTAACCCACCCATATTATGATTTAAAGACGCTTCTGAGAAATAATTCAGGTTGAGTTTGAGCGAGTCAGTCTTTGACAGAGCTGTACATGATGATTCTGAGCTGTTATTGCATACACGCTTGAAATTGTGATCCATTCCATCATATGTTGGTGATTTCTTCTGAAATGAGAAAGAAATGAATAATAACACAACTACTAATAGGTGATTTAAATAATTACCTAAAATAATGAGAGTGTATCGTCGAATCAAGTACTCATCCCACCTGATCATCTATAGACTTCAAGGTTGTATTGATCAAAAACTGACATCAGCAAGAAAACTATTGAATTACTGCCTAGTGATCATCAGTTACTTGGTTCGAGATGGATTTTTCAAAATTCTTATAAGAAACCGTAACCTGTGAGGCCAAAGAAGTTGGGTGTGAAGACAATTGCCCACCGATGACATAAGATGATGGTTGCGTTATATCGTGAATTAACAGACGTAGGAAGTTGAGAACCACTACATTCCGACCCAGTGACTGAGTGGCAACGTGTTCACCATGAATTATGACGGCCCTGAAATCAGTCCCTTAAGCGGTTGTTGACATACCCGGCAGGGGAGTCCCAAATGTAGAAGAAACAGCTGTTCAGTGCACCCAGATTTTCACTAGTTTGGCATATATATATATATATATATATATATATATATATATATATATATATATATATATATATATATATATATATATATATATATATATATATATATATATATATAAAGTAACTGATTATCTATAAACTATAATGATATCCAAATAATAAAAAACTGAAAAAGGGCGAAAAAAACATACAAGACCAAAAAAGTGTAAACTGGATACTTCTATAGTTAAATCTCCAAATATACAAAAATATATACACGTACATTCACTTATTCATTTAGTGATTCACAAATATAAACACTCACATTTCCATTATTAATACTGTTATTGTCACGAACAAATCTACTCAGATCAACCTGAGAAGGAGAAGTGGCAGACGATGATGACTTCAATTCTAACACAAAGCAACTCGCTTTCTTTCTGAAGGGATAAAAGAAGAAAAAGTATCAAACTTATTGTCTGGTCTTTATGATTTACTCACAAGTAAACTTATAAATAATTGGAACATACCGAAGCTTAACAACCTGTTCTAGAGTTATAAGAGAATTCTAATCATTTAAAACCGGTTCTGAAGTATCTGACTGTTTCCCTTGGAGAAATCTGAGAACTCAGACCAAGAAAAAAATTCACGTCCAGTATTCACAGTCAGTCACCACAAAATGTTTGGATTGAGTAAATCCAAAATACGGACTGCTTAATTTCAAGCAATGTAAATCTCAACTATAAGGTATATCTTAGGATCTATCAAGCAACTGTGCAATGTGACCATCAAGGTTAGTCATGCGACACTATGCTGCACTTTGTCTGCCTTTAAAATAACACCTCAGAAAGATAAAATAAGCTCACAAATAAAGACTAGTAGCGATAAAATATCTATAGGATTCTAAAGCAGCCCTGTTAGTTTCCGTTCCTAAATAATATTCGGTCTTATGTATTGCAACAAGCTAAAAAAAGTCATTCGAACCACTTACATATTTGTGTATAAGACTATGTGACATCCATAATAAATAAGGGGCGAGGATACTAAGGAAGCAACCAAGCGTTGGTAGGTGAAATGGAGTTAGAACATATGTGGTAATGTTTGTAAATCAAGAGTGTAAGCCAATGAGCCACACCACATATTAGGTGAATGAATATTTATCGAAATGATCTAATTGACTCAGTCTTCACAAACGCAGGTATATGCCAAGGTATGAGACAGACAGAAACACAGACAGGCAGACAGAGTTAACGAAGAACCTCATACATAAGTACATCGGTCCAAGATGTCACAACTTCATAATAGTATCCAAAGACAGGTGGATAGAATAAGAATGATATCAAAGTGGACAAAGTTGTGTGAGAAAATAAACAGTTTGAAGATAAAGGTCAGGGAAAATATTTAGGATTTAGAAGACATCAAAGAGTGTGTACATCTAAGCCACTGCAACTGGTTCTCAGCCATTTCACCAAGAGTTCTAAACCAACGATTCCTATCATCTCTAGGACCCCCAGGTAAGTAGTTTACATAGTCCTATACGGCTCAGATCAACAATCAAGAACTTCCTCGACTGGTGACACGTCTTGGTCTGGCTATCCTGAAGCAAGCTGGAAGTTATCATTTATAGCAATGAGAATAGAGAAAATAATGTTGACCAGTGTAAAATATGGCAACAATTAATGAAGTACTGATGGAATTAATTGACCTATGCCTTACAACATATTTTAAATTCAATGGCAAACTCTACGAACAGACAAAAAAACACCAATGGGATCCCATATATCAGGACTAATTGTAGAAGCAGTAGTAGAAAGGTTGGAAACTGTGATATTGCCGCTGATGAAACTAAAACATTGTATCTTGTGTGTAGATGACACGCTTGTCATCATTAAAAGAAACGAATCAGAAAACGCTTGAAAATCAATCAACAACATTTTCGACGAGATCAAATTAAATAAAGTGGAATCAAATAAAAAAACTTGCATTTCTAAGTGTTGTAATCACTAAAACGGATTCAGAAAAATCGAAAACTGAAGTATACAGAAAACCAAATCATATGGATGAAATTCACAACTACGGTAGTAACAACCCAACAACACACAGGATCAGTTATATAAATACATTTCTCAAAAGAGCGAAGACACACTGTAGTATATCGACCTTGTGGATGAAAGAGGAAAACTATTTAGTGACTGTTTTGGAGAATGGCTATCCACACAATTTTATCAAAAGATGTTTGTATAATTAGTCGTCAACCGAGAAGTCATACTCGGAAACCAACAAACAGATTGTCCCACCTTAAATGATGAACATCTCTGAGATCAACACCAAAGTATTGAAGCCTTTTGGAATGGTTTCAGCTCATAGACCCACTAAATCTCTTGGCTCTCTGATACGTAGGACAAAAGATGCAATAGCAATGGAAGACAAACCAAACGTTATCTACGAAATAAACTGCGTAAAACACTATATCGAACAGAGTGGTCGCCATCTTCACATCCCTCTACATAAACATCAACTAGTAGTGAAGCATCATGACATATCTTCGCTCATATCAATGCACAAGGACAACTGTGCACATGAATTTGACTGGGAAAATGTGGAAATCTTGGATAGAGGAAATTCAAAGAATACCGGGGAATTTTTAGAAGCTTGGCATTCAGATCAGTCAGTGATCGACAAACATGTTGATATTGACCCAATCTATCGACCGATAACAAAAATCAAGAAGGTCAAAGTTCACGTCAGCAGGGCAACCGATCGAAATAAATATGGAGACAGTGTCAAGACTTTGGTAAAAACAACCAATCACACACAAGGTGATCAGAACAAGCTACTAAGGCACTTATGGAGGAAACCTCACAGTTTACTTCTTTCTGAAGTTTGTGCCAGTGATGTTGCCTAGAACGACAACGAAAGCTTCACGATTAAATTATCCAGCCGGGGGAGCACAACACCTTTAAAGATAACTAGAACAGTTATGCAGTAACGCCAGATTCGTGTTGGTACTAACTATTTATCTACCTGATTTGAAAATACTGTTTTCTCAGCAAAACAACGAAACAATCGAGAAGGTTGAAGTACATGGCAATAGGCACTAATATAGGCAGACTTCAATTATTTAAAAAGTTGACCATCTGCTATAGATCGTGACACTGTCCGTACACTTTTAAACGTGTGAATAAAACATCGTTTGTTTCTTTTCCTACCCAAACTTAAAGAGCATCAGTCAAAACTAGCAATAAGAGAATGAAAATGCTTCCCGATAAATGCTATGAAATTCTTGAAAATTCAGCGTATTGAGTGCTAATCATTTTTTAGTAGCAGCGAATAAGTGCTTTTTATTTCGAGACATAAACAGGTTTTGATAACTGTTTACTAGACAATGGAAATTTGAAAGAAGTCTATAAGCTCCAGACAAAAATATTCTTTGTCTGGGTAACAGATTTTCATCGCAGTTGGGGAAACACCCAACCAACAAATGTAAGGGCAGTCCGAAGATCATGAACACAACAAATAGTAGTTTTCGAATAGGGATAAATGCATAGTCAGTCTAGTAGTGACCTGAAATAAGGCTAGTTTGATTACTAAGAATTCGTTTTCTGTATCTTTATCACAGCGTACGTAAAATCAAGCTAACAGTTATGATGGATGAGATATCTGCCAAACTTATAGTCAGATTTTCAGAAACGGCCGATAGCCGTTACCGTGACGTGGTGGTTGGGCTTGAATATCACAATTACCCAATGAGTTACACTGGCCGAAATGCTTGTTTCATCAAGGTCTCACCATACCAGGAAGATAGTGGTAAGACGAAAAACAGTTACCTTTGCCACGTACATTACTATATTATGATGGGGCCTGAGGGCGACATAGTGCTGTTGCTAGCTGCATGGGGTGTGACAACAGTAGTAGCACCATGCTGGTGTTGCCTTCCCAATGCGGAAGGGTAGTGAGAAAAGGTCGGCCCACAAAACAACACACTACCCCCTAACCCACGGTCATCCGGTCCAGGCTGTATAGGTTTCCCTAACCGGTGTTACAACAACCAAACCTAAAAACAACAACCAGCAAAAGGCCATGTTTGACGCCTCAAGCAGACATCTCATAGCCTATGCCGTCACACAAATCTTTTTCTCGTACACATATCTCAAGAAGAAATGGCCTTCAATAGTGTGGGAAGCCGGGAAGTGTCAACCACCTGGCTGCTCCCAGTAGTACACAACATCCAATCAAACGTAACCTATCCTCATCAACTCTGTCTCCTTCCCCTTCATCTCTCGATACCAATATTACACCTCTTACACCTTCCCCAAACTCTCATTATGCGACAACTGCCAACGATCAAAGCCATCAAAACCTCATTCCCAGTCTCCTAAGAACCTGCCACAGATTTCAGCGTCCGGACTCTATGCAAAATAGGACAGAAAGCTTCGCTCGCCAAAAACTCTGGAATCTCTAGCCATGGATGTGTGTTTCGTCTCTGGGATACTTATACCAGACCTGATTCGATTGTGGTCATTACATTTACTTCACCAGGCCAACACGATGAATCTACAAAATTCACCTTATCAGTGTGCAGATGCCCAGTGACTAGCTCTCATGAATTCGCCTGTGTAGGCATAGCACTGACCTGTAGAGTAGAAAGTGCGCTTATCAACTCATGCCTATTCAAAGTCTCCGTCTACGCACCCACTGACTACATTTTCAACGATGCAAAGCATGAACTCTTTGAGAAGTTGTCAATTCTGCTACGGAAAGCGGAAAGGTGAAATATAGTCATAATAGCAGGCGACTCCAACGCTCAAGTAGGAAGGCTGAACCAATCGGAAAGGATTCTTGAACGTATTTACGGGATCTCATGCCAGCGGACAGACAACGGTGATCTTCTTCTGCAATTCTGTAGCAACAATCAATTGTTTCTGCTCAGCATTAACTTTAGACATAAGAAGAGACACTGTCCAACATGGCGTCCACAGACTTCAAACCAACGATGGACACAGATAGATCACATTGCTACAAGTCACCATCGGAGAGGATCGGTGGAGGATTACCACTCTTTCTGGAGTACCAGTTTGGACTTGGATCACGCGAAAGTATGGACTCGTGTACTTCTGCATCTTGCTAGCCTGAGGAAAAAGGAGGCATTGAGGCCGATCTGTGCTCGATTCATAGATGAGGACACCAAGCACGTATTTAGAGACGAGTTAGCTAAACATTTACCCGGACGTGGCAGCAATACTCATCCTGAGGAAACCTAGCGTGATATTAGGTCTGATGTAAAGTCGGCGGTATAGACGACTGGTAACCTACCCACCACCCACGAACTTCAGTAAATGTTACTGGATCTCCAAAACGTCGTCCGAACCAACTGGCGCAAGGAGACTTATTCCAGCTGTCTCTGACCACGACGAAGAGCGAAAGCAACTTAAACGTGGGTTGACTAAGTCTTCACGTCGATCGTGAGTGATGGTTAGCGAAGCCGAGAGAGACGGAGAAGGTATCAGCGTTAGGTAACACTAGCCAACTATTTAGGCTTATTAAGGATATTGCCAAGAAGTCGATGATGAGTGAAAGCACCACCAGGAAGGATGGAACGCTGATAACCGTCCAGGATAGGCAGCGAGAACGTTGGAGCACATTAGAACTGGGCCTCAGCTACGTTTCTGTTGCTCAAAATCCAGTCTGAACCTGAACAGAACGTAGATGCCCGCTTCCCGATCCTCCTTGGAAAAGCGTTTTGCTAATATGAAACTACACAAAGAACTAGGACCAGACGGTTTACCAACCAGTTTTATATGAACTCTCAAAAACGGTGGCTAATTACTATAAAGACTGTTGCAACCTAGGCTTGAACGACAATACGAAAAGTTGGTGCAGGTTGGTGATCAGGATCACCTACATGGGTCACTTTAACCAACAAGTTACCAGCTACCACTTAAACGATTCTCTTCCGCAATTGCAGAAAAGGACGGGATAGATAGCTAGTTGTCTTTTTGGTATCTTTCAGAAATATTTGTTGTATTTCATTTAGTTTGTGAAAGAAATTGTTGGCCATTTTTACTCCTATTTTAATCTGTTGCGACATGCTTGCTGATCCGAAAAAGTTTGGTTCCATTCGTTTTCTTCCTGTGAAAACTTCACAAGAATACGACAGTTTTTAATATGGGTTTAGGCGTGTACTCTAGCTGCGGCTTTAATGCTCGAGGGAACACATCATCACGCTTTTCAGAGTAAATAAATCAGGTTTTCAACTGCAAGGTGTATTTAAGTAGGCAAATGTTCCAGTTAGTCACTACCCATCATTACTATCGAATATCTAAACATACTAAAATACGCTAAAATCTGCAATAGTTTTGAGCTGTTAAGTTACTTTACAGTGATAATAAAGAGCAATAAAAACGATATGAAAATGAATGATGATGATTAATATTTGACATGTTTAAATACATATGTCTTGTTCTTATGCACTTCAGTATACTGTGCGCCATTTTCCTTCTTTCCACCGTATTGTCATAGATTTTAGGTTGTCATGCAGCGTAAATGTTTGAAACAAAGAAGGTTTTCGTGAAGGATCAGCTAACTACACGTCATTTGATATGAAGTATAATAAATACCGTAGTAATTGTCATGACAATGAATGTTAATGTCAACCAGCAATACGCAGACTTATGTATCGTTTATTCTATCACGATCCTATCATTTATATTTAAGGTTATATAACTCTACTAGGCTCATATGAAGAATTAACTCATGGGGCGATCGATTCACAGCAAACAATCATTCTTACTAGTCAGTGGTATATTAGTCATTAAGTGCGAAAGTTATTTCTGATTACAGGTTCAACTTAACAAATTGCATACAAACTCAAGATAGATGGTTTATAAAATCACTGGCATGTTATTAAATGGGATGCCTAATCCATAGGTAACAGAGTCAACTTCATTAAAACTTCGACGCATGGGCATTTTTCGAGTTCGAAGAAGCGATGAATCCATGTTCGTTACATCGGTATAATAGACTCATTCAAATGCGAGTATCTAATACATTCGACTGTTACTTTCATCGTACAAAGTAATCCCTATAACAAGGATACAAATCAACAGAAAAGATAAATTACAGAACCACTGAAGAAATAATTATAGATAAATTGGTTGTTATCGGAAAAATAATGGAATGTAACATCCAGACTAATTTTGCGATGAGTATTTATCATGCACTTAAAAAAGCAGTGGAAGTGTCATGTATATTTCAAGCCTAAATAATATGTAGATATTCAATAACGAAATGTACTGGTCCGAAATAAAACTAAAAACTTGCTCCTGTAATTTGTACTAACTAGGGCTAGTAAGTAAGCGCCTCACATGAGGGACATGAACTCTAGTTGTATATCCGTATTACCACGATATTAAAAAACTTGTACAGACAAGCTACCCATGTAGTACACCGAATTCAGATCTTTTAACCATAAACATACGGACATGCGTATTTATAAGAAAACAAAGTAACTTACTATGAAAGTGTACAAGAATAAAAAATAAGATGGGGATGATACATTTAGTAATATCATGGACCCACATATTAGAACAGAGGTGAAACAGACGTACAAATATGGCTCATTAATTCATCTACATGTCACGTATCCGCTTGAATAGCCACAGTCTATAGCAGGAAACAACCACAGTGATGGACAATATGAAGTGGAAGTAATTCCACATACATTGGGAGAGGTGCTACTTGTTAGTGAAATGTTGCAAAGTCGGAATATGTTTCCACCCACTTTGTAACTGACTTTTGACTTTCAATCTACTGTGTTTTCTAAATAGTTTGATTATTCATTTGTCATAAGTAACCATGTCACCAAGGATCGTTGACTCTAAACTTGAGACTGAATGCCTTCGGAAAATTGATTATAGCAGCCATTAGTTGGTCTAAATACAATGACACATTCTTGAAAATGATGATATTTATGCGAAAATTTCCTTTATTGGTGAAGATTATGAGTTTCAGGCATAATGATTTCCTATTAAGTGTACAACGTTTAGGAAAACAGCTGCTTTTGTGAAGACTGCGGAAAGTCATGTTTTTAAGTTGAGAAGACATAAAAGTGTTGACGTTAAACTTCTAACATTATGCATTAAAACACCTCGTTGGAAATTGGTAAGACTTTCTTGCTTCTTCGCAACAGAAAGTTAAATCCGTTAACATTAGAAAAGTAGTTACTAGTAAGAGTTCGCCTATTTGCGATCTTCACTTCGCTACATATGAATTTGCAATTTTTTGGAGGAATAAGTTGAGTACTCGATTTTCGAACTCCATTCCACCTACTAAGGTTTGAACCAGACGGCCGCACGAAGCATGAATTACTGCCTAGAAAACAAATGTGTATGGTTGGTTAGTAGCACACTATTATTTCAGTGGTAAAATTAATAATTTGCAATGGCTTGTAAGGCATTATTGTCCCCAAACTCTTGTCTATTTCGGCACAAAGAATTGCATGAGAAACACTTTCGAATAGCCAGGGACGTATACACGAGGATAAAAAGAGAGACTTAAAGTGTAAAACCGAAACTAGATAGCATTAAACAGTAAAATTGACTCACAAGTCTTCCGCTGTAATGTGAGCACCATCGAGGATACGTAAGTTCGGCAGCCATCCTAAGACGAACATTTTGTAGTCATATGCACTATGAAGACTATGTTAAGCAAAATTAGCGAAAAACTGAAGAGCACACAATAAATATACTACAAAGGATACGTTGATTCGGCGCACGGGTTATTTCCCAAAGAAAATTGCAAAAGCTTTGGGATGCAAGATAGTTCCCGGACCTAAAAGGTTAAACTAGACCTACAAACCTACCTCCAAAATGTCGGAAACCATATTATTAGCCAGAGATATTATTTCAAGTGATTTAGGCAAATAATTGGATGAACCTTGAAGTGTGCTAATGCGATTACAGTGCAGAAGAAGTGTCTGGTATTGTTAGACCAACATGCGTCATATACCTTCAGTTTGGTTAGGAAAGATAAATTTTTAAGCTCGGAAATATAGTTGTCCGACAAATCTAAGTGTTTTAGACTCGAATTGGCATCTAGTTGTTCGATAACCTAAAAACTCAGTTTATAGTGTATTTACATCTACCTTCAGTTTATTTCCCGACAAATTAAGCCACCTAAGGTGGGTTAACTTGCTTAAACCTAAAAGTACGGAGTATACTGTTGACTACAGTTATCAAAATACCATCAATTGCAACAATGCCATTGTTAGGTAAATTCAAGATCGTCAGGTTTTTGAGGCTAGATACTCCATGCATTTGTAGTAACTTGTTGTTTGCCACTGAAAGCTGTGAAAATTACAATTTTCAGTTCACAAACTTGTTGTAAATCATACAAACTAGATAAATTTTCTAAACGTCGAATATAGTTGTGGTCCAAGATGAGGACATTGACATCGTCTGGAACTATATCAATATTTTCAATGCCAGATCTCGCAAGATTCAGAGTGATCTCCCCATTTGGTCCGACGAATGTAGGCACATCCTGGGATCCTTGTCTCAGCAACTTGTACATTTGTTGACAGATTTCAAAATGCTGACCGTTCCAAGGTCAATTCAGTTTCAAGTAGAACATTTTTAAAAGTCCAAAAGTTCAACAGGCAATGTACAGTACCCTTCAATAGAGTATAAAAAAGCGACAGCTTCTGATTTCTAAAGTCTGTGCCTTAGACTGGGTTATTTTCGCTTGATTTACCTTCATCAGTGGGTATTTAAGTACTTTCTAGTTTCCTGCGTTAAGCAATTCGGAACCAGTTTCTTTTGTACGAGTATATCCAATATCCGTAATAAGAGTGGAGGAAACTTATGACCTTCGAAACTTCGCTACTACTTATTGTGGCTTGGTTATCTCTTTCCAATATCCAATACCCAACACTAGTGGTGTGAGTGTAGAAAACTGATGATTTTGATCTCTCGCGTCCAGTCCTTGGGGCTTGGTTCGAGTTGTTCGGTTCACTCCTGAAGTGGATGTGGAAACCCCCTCCGCTTTCTTGCTTTTAGCCTCGGTGAGGTGGATGTTTCGTGGGCTAGTAAGTTGTGATTTGTAGAATGATTGGGGAGCTACAGGTTGCGAGGATGGTTAGGGAACTGTTGTGACTACTGTCCGTGTAGGTACCTGAAAGAGACTGGTTAGGTGGTGGTAACGAATGAAGAGAATAAATCAAAGGCGGAAAAAGAAAATAAAAGAAGAGAAAAGGGAGAAGAAAAGAGGAGGGGGTAAAGAAAGGAAGTAAAGGAGGGAGAAAAGTGTGTAGGAAAAGTAGTGGTGTTCCCCGAGGTTCAGTGTTGGGGCATCTCCTTTTTCTTATATACATAAACGACTTGCCTCAACAGGTCTCTTCCGAAATCCTTCTTTTTGCCCCTGACGTAAAACTCTGGAGGAAAATGAAAAGTGAAGAAGACAGTGTTTCTCCGCAGGAAGACTTGACTCGACTTCACATTTGGGCAGTCAACAGCGGGCTCGCATTTAATTCTGAGAAATGCAAGGTAATACACGTAAAACATGATGCATCTCGTGTACACAGCCTCAACGGCATGGAACTTGAAGCGTCACTGACGGAAAATGACTAAGGCATGTTGGTCCCCCAGGACGCAAAATCCTATGCCAACTGTGACAGAAATGCACTTCATGGGAACTTGGCGTAAGTAACTCTTAGACGAATTTTCGGGCAGTTGAAACGTAGGTGCTTCCATCAAGTTTTCAACAGCTTCATACGGCTCTGCCAGGAGTTCGGAACCATCATCTTCCCCCCTTATCTCTAAAAGGACAAACTAAGCTTAGAACGCATCCAGAGGAGTTTGACAAAATCTGTTCAAGGACTTTGGTCTAAAACATACAAAGAACGGCTGGTTGCGCTGGATCTGTATCTCTAGAATACAGAAGGCTGAAAGGTGACTTGATAGTGACTTACAGCATTCTGAGAGCGCGTGGCCATCCACTTCGTCACTTATTAAATCTTAGGTGCAGCGCTAACCTGAGAGGATATGCACAGAAACTAAGCCTGGAACATAGCAGGCTGGATGTCAGGCATGACTTCTATTCCCTAAGAGTTTTAAACCCTGGAACTCTCTTCCTGAAGATGTGATCCAGGCTACTTCGTCTGAATCTTTGGAACGCCGACTGGATACCCACTTGATGTGTGCCTGGGATTTGCCCAGAACTAAGTGAATTTTCACATTTTAATCGCCACTTTTGCACCTATCTTTACTTGTACAACAGGTTAACAACCAAAAGAAGCAGTGATCCACGGACTGTAGACGTGGAAGTCAGTTAAGCGAAGGCTTCTTCTATTCCGTCAACATCCATTTGAACCATTTGAACCATTTATCCTGAGAGGTAAAAATGAATGGCTTAGGTCTGTTTCCTAGAAATGAATTAGTAGGTAGTATGGGAGTGAGATAGTGAGTGGTAGGTAGGAGGGACGTGAAGGTGTGCTGGTGGGGTTGGTGACTTACTGGTGAGCAAGAGTTCTGGGATGAGGGCGCCAAGCTGTCTACGCAGTGCAAGGTAGCGTTCTCTCTGGCTGTCATATCTTTTTAGTTGCAGCTGGCGTTCAAGGCGTCAGAGAAGTTGAGCCCCAAATCTTTCTTTGTGGACACTCTGGTGACAGCACGGTTGCCCAACATGTACTAGAAGTCGGTCGTACTTGCTTCATATTTACTGATGTGCACCACTTTGCTCTTTTCCAGATTGAAGCTCCAGGCGTTTTCCGACCGCCAGAGCTTGGGTTGCTGCAAGCGCTTTTGTAGTGCTGTACAGTCAGCTTCTCCGTTTATCACCCTCCAAATTTTATTGTCGTCAGCTAGGAGGGAGATGGATGAAGATATCTTGTCTGGCGGATCATTGACGAGCAGGAGGAATAGAAATAGTCCTAGAATTGCTCCTTAGGATACTCCTGATGTCGACGGTCTCCATGGTCTCCGTCGCTTCTAGTGTGGGAAGACACGTCACCGAACCACATTAGTCTGAACCTCATCCCGTTGGCGGCTGAACGGGACTCGAACCATGTCAGATCGTCCCGGAGTATCCTTGGATCCCCTCTCCTGCCTTCTGCCCTCTGTGTTCCGGTATCATCGACAAACAGGACGGTAGATGAGGGATTTCATCGGGGCGGGCACATACCAATAGCCAAAATGGGAGTGACCCAATGGTCGCTCCTTGAGAAACCCTGACTCCTGTGCACTTACAGCCTGACTGAGTTTCATTTGCCCACGAACAGGACTCTGTTTTCCCCGATAAGTCATGTTATGGGTGTTTCATTGACGCCCAATTTTTGCGAGTTTAGCAACCATGGGGTGATGTGGTACGCTTTCGAAAGTTTTGACCCTGTCTAGAAAGATAACGTGAACTAATTTTTTGTTCCGTCCTTTGGTCAAGTCACCCAAAGTGGTCAGTACATTTTCCATATGTAACCGTCTGGCCCTGGAGAGTTGTTGCGTGGGTTGGATGATGCTGTTTCCGTCTGGGTAGTCCCGGTCGCGTGATCGCTTTTGCTTGAGGAGGGGTGGACGCTGATGTCATCCACCAAAATCGTCATCTGCTGTTTTGCAATCAATTCATAATTCCACCCATCCTGTCCCAGTTGTATGTTCTTCACAACCCTCCCTGCTAGCCATAAAGGCGTCTTGAAGTCTGCATTCGAAAGGCTTGCATCTAAAACTTCCTCCCAATCCCGGGTTGAGTGACAACGTGCTGAAGTGTTCAGCGAGGTCCATCTGGTCATGGACTAAAGAGGTGGACGTCGAAATTGTGGTGAGCACGTGTACCTAATGCTCTGTTGCGGGCTATGAGGACCTGCATGCCACTTCTAGGATATACGCTGCATGGTTCGGGGCAAAATGCCAATCAAGGAGTCTGACGGTTGGGTGAGCGCGTCGTCAATCACCATTTTAGGTTTAAGGTGCATGCCCGCACAGCCCGCTATATCTGGTCGGTGAGGCAGGACTATCATGCCACGCGACTACTTCCTTGTCATCGAGAACGCTTTGAGGGATGGCGGCCTCTCTCAAGGTGTCCTCAACAGAACTGGCACAAGCTTACGAAAATGGGTTTTACTCCTAACTTTTGGCAGTGGTGGTACCATTTTTCTTCATCGGGTTACTTTTTTCCAAGGGTGAGTCTTTCTGTGTGTGAACGTCGAACGGGATGATGACGTCTGTTCTCTCATCCCGTGAGTGCAAGGTATTGAGTTTGGGAGTCAATATAATTGGTCTACCGCTCCTACTACCCACTTGCATCAGCTTGTCCTCGACACTGACTAGTTCTTCGGGTCGCTGCATTTCTTCGGTTCATGTGAGTTGATAAAACTCACCGGATGAAGACCTTGTAAGCGCTTCATATACCGTAGAAACCGGTCATCTTCCACTCCAAGAGGTGAAATTTTTCCAAAATTTTATCTGGGTATCCAAGGGGCTTGACCTGTCCTTGTGGGTCGACCCTTAGAACCCTCATCTTGTGATGTCTTACGTTGTACCAAGCTTCTTAGTTTTGTGGCGGTTATAGCAGGTGTCTTCCCATATTATGGACACATGTACCACACCCGCTCACTTGTGCGCTCTATCGTGTAGTCGCGGAGCCGTCGTACTAAGCCCCTATCACAATCATAGTGCATCCATTTTAAGCTAATGCTACGCTCGGAAACCTCTTGTATTGCATTACGAACATCACAGTCATCAAAAATTAGTTCCTAGTTCGCGACTTCATAGACTGTTTTTGGTGGGCTACGATTAGTCTTTGAGAGCACTGGTAAAATGGCTCGTGGGCATCCATGTCTTCCGCATCTTTTACTGATGGGTTGGTTAGGGGCATATTATTAACACCCCGGCTACATGAATTTACAGATTCAGACAACTTTTGTGTCAGGCGAAACATTAGCTTGGGGTACCTAAGGGCTCAGGTTATCGCCGAACTAACCTCGTCTTCATGGACTATTTTCTGCCAGCCTGCCGACCTCGTTAGGAATGTGGTCACTTTTGGCTTGATCTCCCGAACGATTATGTTTTGCAAGATGCCTAAATTATATATAAAACGAAATGAAGAGGCACAAGATATAGCTTACCGCCAGATACGCGTCACTGGGTCTTCTTCACTTGCTCAACAACTTTAACTGAGAGTTCTTGGTGACGCGTATAAACAAACAAAGATGTTTCTTGCACAGTGATCTCCAATGAGGACCAAAGACTGTGGCATTTGGGCAGTTCGGACGGCTATAAAGCATTGATGGAGGGTGTTGCCAACTTGTGGTGATAACTGCGTTGTGGGGATGGCAATTTTCACGTCCGGTTGGCCAGCTGTTTTGTCTTCACTGTTTTGATATTGCTGGAGGCTGGCTTTGAGTTATGTTGACTGTAGTGATCTAACAATCGGCCGCTGAAGAGCAGCCCGTTCTTACAGAGTTCTGTCGGTTGAGGTTGCCGTCTCGTCTTGCTGACGAGTGCCGGCAATGATAAAGCCAAGGCTCAGGATTTTCTACCTAATCCTTGCAGCCGCTTACCAGGTACTTGGTTCACTAACTT